CCCTATTCCTGGAAGCTGCTGAATGCTTTCTGCTCCCTTTGTTGAAGCTAGGCGTGGGAGCTGGGATCTCCTCACCTCACAGGGTAGAGTCCTTCATGCTTTGTTAACTCCCTACCTCAGTTCAGCTCTTCTGATCAGGGCACAGTGAGATCTATGAAACCCCATGTCCGCTTCTTAGGCCCAGAAAAGATACTGTAGGTGGAGGGAGCTATTTCAGCTTCCAGAGGGCACCTTGCCCCTAGGGTCTTTGCAACCTTACCTGGAGGGGCTCAATATGAGGGTCGAAAATCGAGACGAGCAAGGCTAACCTGTAACTCTTATTTTACAAACTGACTGTCAACTCACCAGGTGAGGATGGAGTCGTAGGTTTAGTTGGCTCTTTTCCTGCAAAGGAAGAGTGGCAAGAAAAGGAAAATGGTTGAATCCCGGGAAGGTGACTAAACGAAGTAGGCCTTCCTAAACCATCAATCTCTGCAATTATATTGGCCTAAGTGGAAAATGCTCCTTGGCAGTGAGTACCACAGCAAGGAGATGTGGCTGTGCCTCCTGTGGAGGTGATTGGGCTTCCTTGCTCTCCCAGATGGGAGTGACTGCTGGGCACTGTGGAAGAGGACCTTTGCCAATTAGTCTAAACAGAGAAATGTCAGAAGGAGCTGGGTGGGGGGCGAGGGGGGAATGGGGAGCAGAGAGGAAGGCCAATGAAGAAAAATGTTCCCTGGCCTTTCGACATCTCCGAACCAAAGAGTAACGCTTTGGTTATGTTTGGCTGACGAAGCCTATGTGGTGGAAAAGCGAGTTATTATTCCAGTAATTGCCCAGGTACAGAAGGAAATCAATGACTAAAATGTACCTCTTGGTGTTGGCCTCGTTGGGGACGTAGTTGAGGTTGTTGTTGGAGAAACTGTCGTCAGCGTAGTTGTTTTTACGGTGCTTGGGCTGGTGGTCTCAGATGCGGTGCTCTCCGGTGAAGTAGTGGTCGGGGCCATCGTCGTCGTCAGAGTGACGGTTGTGAGTGGAGTCGGTGTGGTGGTTGTGGTGGGTGTGGTAAAGGTAGTGGAAATGGTCGGGGTTGACTTTGACGTTGTGCTCTCCGGTGAGCTAGTGGACAAGGTAGTCGTGGTGAGAGTGTGGGTTGTGGGTGTAGCTGGTGTGGCGGTTGTAGTGGTTTCGGTAGAGTGGGTGGGAGGCGTAGTCGTTGTCAGAGTTGTGCTTCTTCGACTTGTTTTTGGTGAGGAGGTTGGGCTGGACTCTGTTGACGCCGTGGTTTTGGACGTTGTAGAGACAGATGTGGTTGGTGTTGTTTTCCTGGTACTTCTTGGTGTTGGGGTTTCTACGGACTTAGTTACTGTGAGGGAGAAATGTGAATCGAGATGGTGACATTGACAAGAAAACGGTAGATTGCAGAGGAAGAGTTTACCATGACTAAATAATTGTCACACAATAAAGAGGGGTTTGAGAGTGAGGGCACCTTTGTGCTAGACAAATAGCAATTTTTTTTTGCAAACAATTGAGAAGTGGCCCTCTCTCATCCTTTAGTAATGGAAAATGGGCCAGCAGTTGAAATAAATGACTTAATTGCCAACCGTGTTGAAAATCCACACCTTTGAAAGGGGGTTTATTGGGTGGGATAGTAGTGGGGCGGGACAGTTTGAATCATTTTGAGGGGCTAAAATCAAAGCAGGTGAGGAAGGCTGATCTAGAATTCTGATTTTACCCACCGATTGACAAACTCTCCCCTTGAGACAGGAGTAGTATGTCTAGGTGAGTCTTTTCATGCAAAGCAAGAGGGTAAAGAAAAGAATAAAGTTTGAATCCTGTCAGTGTGAGTAAAGAAAGTGGGCCTGATCAAACCATCCACCATGGCTGTTCAGTTGGCCGAACTGGAAAACATAATTTCATGGACTGGAGTGCATCAATGAGAGAGAAAGCACCCAGATTGTTTGACTCGTATCTGCAACCCACGTAAAACTCTCTGGGTCTGTTTTCTTTCAGCCCCATTGAGAGGAAATGGTTTTCAGTATGTGCCTTTCTCAGGAAGGTAGAGAGACTGGATTGCGCTGGAATGAAGCGGGTGGATTGCCCTCTGTGTCCGTACCCAGGAATTAGTCTGAGTGAAATAGCTACAAGGAGCTATGCATTCCTAATGATTAAGAATCTGAAAAGGAGGTGGGATATATTGGAAGTGTGAGCTTTGTGTTGTGAGAAAAAGCAAGTTAGACAGAAGGGGAAAAATGCGGTGTTTACACCATACACTTCCCAGAAGAATGGGCTTTAATCTGCTATAGCGGAGGTTTGTGTACCTGTTGGTGTTGGACTCGATGTGGACTTAGTTGTCGTAGTCTTTGGAGAAACTGTCGTCAGCGTAGTTGTTTTTACGGTGCTTGGGCTGGTGGTCTCAGATGCGGTGCTCTCCGGTGAAGTAGTGGTCGGGGCCATCGTCGTCGTCAGAGTGACGGTTGTGAGTGGAGTCGGTGTGGTGGTTGTGGTGGGTGTGGTAAAGGTAGTGGAAATGGTCGGGGTTGACTTTGACGTTGTGCTCTCCGGTGAGCTAGTGGACAAGGTAGTCGTGGTGAGAGTGTGGGTTGTGGGTGTAGCTGGTGTGGCGGTTGTAGTGGTTTCGGTAGAGTGGGTGGGAGGCGTAGTCGTTGTCAGCGTTGTGCTTCTTCGACTTGTTTTTGGTGAGGAGGTTGGGCTGGACTCTGTTGACGCCGTGGTTTTGGACGTTGTAGAGACAGATGTGGTTGGTGTTGTTTTCCTGGTACTTCTTGGTGTTGGGGTTTCTACGGACTTAGTTACTGTGAGGGAGAAATGTGAATCGAGATGTTGACGTTGACAAGAGAATGGCAAATTGCAGAGGAAGAGTTTACTATGAGTAAATTATTGTATCATTATGAACAGGGGTTTTAGAGTGAGTGCACTTTTGTGCTAGATTAAAAGGGAGAAAACTGGGTCAACGTTTGAGAAGTGGCCGCCTCACACCTTTAGTAACGGTGATATTTGGGAAGACTGACAATAAGGAACTTAACTGCCAATGTTGTGACAAGAACAAAATTGCATAAAAGGAAGTGCATTTACTGTTTTGTAAAGAAACGTAGACATTTCTGGAAAGGAGTACATTGTGATCTGTTGTGGTGTTTTAAATCCTCCTGATGGAAGATGTATCGGGCGTGAACAAAGCATGTCTGACTTCTGTACGGTAGTATATGTCTTTGTGCAAGGTTTTGTGTTAAGTTTGTTGCTTCTTTGAGGTACGGTGATCTAAAGCTTTCTGGGTGACACCATACCTCCAGAGATATGTACTCTCTTCTCTATGCCACCTAATGTTTCTATGAGAGAGTATGCTTGCAAACATTAACCAACCGAGAGAAAATGAATGCTGGGTTATTTCATCTTGCAAGTTTAGGTCCCTATTCCTGGAAGCTGCTGAATGCTTTCTGCTCCCTTTGTTGAAGCTAGGCGTGGGAGCTGGGATCTCCTCACCTCACAGGGTAGAGTCCTTCATGCTTTGTTAACTCCCTACCTCAGTTCAGCTCTTCTGATCAGGGCACAGTGAGATCTATGAAACCCCATGTCCGCTTCTTAGGCCCAGAAAAGATACTGTAGGTGGAGGGAGCTATTTCAGCTTCCAGAGGGCACCTTGCCCCTAGGGTCTTTGCAACCTTACCTGGAGGGGCTCAATATGAGGGTCGAAAATCGAGACGAGCAAGGCTAACCTGTAACTCTTATTTTACAAACTGACTGTCAACTCACCAGGTGAGGATGGAGTCGTAGGTTTAGTTGGCTCTTTTCCTGCAAAGGAAGAGTGGCAAGAAAAGGAAAATGGTTGAATCCCGGGAAGGTGACTAAACGAAGTAGGCCTTCCTAAACCATCAATCTCTGCAATTATATTGGCCTAAGTGGAAAATGCTCCTTGGCAGTGAGTACCACAGCAAGGAGATGTGGCTGTGCCTCCTGTGGAGGTGATTGGGCTTCCTTGCTCTCCCAGATGGGAGTGACTGCTGGGCACTGTGGAAGAGGACCTTTGCCAATTAGTCTAAACAGAGAAATGTCAGAAGGAGCTGGGTGGGGGGCGAGGGGGGAATGGGGAGCAGAGAGGAAGGCCAATGAAGAAAAATGTTCCCTGGCCTTTCGACATCTCCGAACCAAAGAGTAACGCTTTGGTTATGTTTGGCTGACGAAGCCTATGTGGTGGAAAAGCGAGTTATTATTCCAGTAATTGCCCAGGTACAGAAGGAAATCAATGACTAAAATGTACCTCTTGGTGTTGGCCTCGTTGGGGACGTAGTTGAGGTTGTTGTTGGAGAAACTGTCGTCAGCGTAGTTGTTTTTACGGTGCTTGGGCTGGTGGTCTCAGATGCGGTGCTCTCCGGTGAAGTAGTGGTCGGGGCCATCGTCGTCGTCAGAGTGACGGTTGTGAGTGGAGTCGGTGTGGTGGTTGTGGTGGGTGTGGTAAAGGTAGTGGAAATGGTCGGGGTTGACTTTGACGTTGTGCTCTCCGGTGAGCTAGTGGACAAGGTAGTCGTGGTGAGAGTGTGGGTTGTGGGTGTAGCTGGTGTGGCGGTTGTAGTGGTTTCGGTAGAGTGGGTGGGAGGCGTAGTCGTTGTCAGAGTTGTGCTTCTTCGACTTGTTTTTGGTGAGGAGGTTGGGCTGGACTCTGTTGACGCCGTGGTTTTGGACGTTGTAGAGACAGATGTGGTTGGTGTTGTTTTCCTGGTACTTCTTGGTGTTGGGGTTTCTACGGACTTAGTTACTGTGAGGGAGAAATGTGAATCGAGATGGTGACATTGACAAGAAAACGGTAGATTGCAGAGGAAGAGTTTACCATGACTAAATAATTGTCACACAATAAAGAGGGGTTTGAGAGTGAGGGCACCTTTGTGCTAGACAAATAGCAATTTTTTTTTGCAAACAATTGAGAAGTGGCCCTCTCTCATCCTTTAGTAATGGAAAATGGGCCAGCAGTTGAAATAAATGACTTAATTGCCAACCGTGTTGAAAATCCACACCTTTGAAGGGGGTTTATTGGGTGGGATAGTAGTGGGGCGGGACAGTTTGAATCATTTTGAGGGGCTAAAATCAAAGCAGGTGAGGAAGGCTGATCTAGAATTCTGATTTTACCCACCGATTGACAAACTCTCCCCTTGAGACAGGAGTAGTATGTCTAGGTGAGTCTTTTCATGCAAAGCAAGAGGGTAAAGAAAAGAATAAAGTTTGAATCCTGTCAGTGTGAGTAAAGAAAGTGGGCCTGATCAAACCATCCACCATGGCTGTTCAGTTGGCCGAACTGGAAAACATAATTTCATGGACTGGAGTGCATCAATGAGAGAGAAAGCACCCAGATTGTTTGACTCGTATCTGCAACCCACGTAAAACTCTCTGGGTCTGTTTTCTTTCAGCCCCATTGAGAGGAAATGGTTTTCAGTATGTGCCTTTCTCAGGAAGGTAGAGAGACTGGATTGCGCTGGAATGAAGCGGGTGGATTGCCCTCTGTGTCCGTACCCAGGAATTAGTCTGAGTGAAATAGCTACAAGGAGCTATGCATTCCTAATGATTAAGAATCTGAAAAGGAGGTGGGATATATTGGAAGTGTGAGCTTTGTGTTGTGAGAAAAAGCAAGTTAGACAGAAGGGGAAAAATGCGGTGTTTACACCATACACTTCCCAGAAGAATGGGCTTTAATCTGCTATAGCGGAGGTTTGTGTACCTGTTGGTGTTGGACTCGATGTGGACTTAGTTGTCGTAGTCTTTGGAGAAACTGTCGTCAGCGTAGTTGTTTTTACGGTGCTTGGGCTGGTGGTCTCAGATGCGGTGCTCTCCGGTGAAGTAGTGGTCGGGGCCATCGTCGTCGTCAGAGTGACGGTTGTGAGTGGAGTCGGTGTGGTGGTTGTGGTGGGTGTGGTAAAGGTAGTGGAAATGGTCGGGGTTGACTTTGACGTTGTGCTCTCCGGTGAGCTAGTGGACAAGGTAGTCGTGGTGAGAGTGTGGGTTGTGGGTGTAGCTGGTGTGGCGGTTGTAGTGGTTTCGGTAGAGTGGGTGGGAGGCGTAGTCGTTGTCAGCGTTGTGCTTCTTCGACTTGTTTTTGGTGAGGAGGTTGGGCTGGACTCTGTTGACGCCGTGGTTTTGGACGTTGTAGAGACAGATGTGGTTGGTGTTGTTTTCCTGGTACTTCTTGGTGTTGGGGTTTCTACGGACTTAGTTACTGTGAGGGAGAAATGTGAATCGAGATGTTGACGTTGACAAGAGAATGGCAAATTGCAGAGGAAGAGTTTACTATGAGTAAATTATTGTATCATTATGAACAGGGGTTTTAGAGTGAGTGCACTTTTGTGCTAGATTAAAAGGGAGAAAACTGGGTCAACGTTTGAGAAGTGGCCGCCTCACACCTTTAGTAACGGTGATATTTGGGAAGACTGACAATAAGGAACTTAACTGCCAATGTTGTGACAAGAACAAAATTGCATAAAAGGAAGTGCATTTACTGTTTTGTAAAGAAACGTAGACATTTCTGGAAAGGAGTACATTGTGATCTGTTGTGGTGTTTTAAATCCTCCTGATGGAAGATGTATCGGGCGTGAACAAAGCATGTCTGACTTCTGTACGGTAGTATATGTCTTTGTGCAAGGTTTTGTGTTAAGTTTGTTGCTTCTTTGAGGTACGGTGATCTAAAGCTTTCTGGGTGACACCATACCTCCAGAGATATGTACTCTCTTCTCTATGCCACCTAATGTTTCTATGAGAGAGTATGCTTGCAAACATTAACCAACCGAGAGAAAATGAATGCTGGGTTATTTCATCTTGCAAGTTTAGGTCCCTATTCCTGGAAGCTGCTGAATGCTTTCTGCTCCCTTTGTTGAAGCTAGGCGTGGGAGCTGGGATCTCCTCACCTCACAGGGTAGAGTCCTTCATGCTTTGTTAACTCCCTACCTCAGTTCAGCTCTTCTGATCAGGGCACAGTGAGATCTATGAAACCCCATGTCCGCTTCTTAGGCCCAGAAAAGATACTGTAGGTGGAGGGAGCTATTTCAGCTTCCAGAGGGCACCTTGCCCCTAGGGTCTTTGCAACCTTACCTGGAGGGGCTCAATATGAGGGTCGAAAATCGAGACGAGCAAGGCTAACCTGTAACTCTTATTTTACAAACTGACTGTCAACTCACCAGGTGAGGATGGAGTCGTAGGTTTAGTTGGCTCTTTTCCTGCAAAGGAAGAGTGGCAAGAAAAGGAAAATGGTTGAATCCCGGGAAGGTGACTAAACGAAGTAGGCCTTCCTAAACCATCAATCTCTGCAATTATATTGGCCTAAGTGGAAAATGCTCCTTGGCAGTGAGTACCACAGCAAGGAGATGTGGCTGTGCCTCCTGTGGAGGTGATTGGGCTTCCTTGCTCTCCCAGATGGGAGTGACTGCTGGGCACTGTGGAAGAGGACCTTTGCCAATTAGTCTAAACAGAGAAATGTCAGAAGGAGCTGGGTGGGGGGCGAGGGGGGAATGGGGAGCAGAGAGGAAGGCCAATGAAGAAAAATGTTCCCTGGCCTTTCGACATCTCCGAACCAAAGAGTAACGCTTTGGTTATGTTTGGCTGACGAAGCCTATGTGGTGGAAAAGCGAGTTATTATTCCAGTAATTGCCCAGGTACAGAAGGAAATCAATGACTAAAATGTACCTCTTGGTGTTGGCCTCGTTGGGGACGTAGTTGAGGTTGTTGTTGGAGAAACTGTCGTCAGCGTAGTTGTTTTTACGGTGCTTGGGCTGGTGGTCTCAGATGCGGTGCTCTCCGGTGAAGTAGTGGTCGGGGCCATCGTCGTCGTCAGAGTGACGGTTGTGAGTGGAGTCGGTGTGGTGGTTGTGGTGGGTGTGGTAAAGGTAGTGGAAATGGTCGGGGTTGACTTTGACGTTGTGCTCTCCGGTGAGCTAGTGGACAAGGTAGTCGTGGTGAGAGTGTGGGTTGTGGGTGTAGCTGGTGTGGCGGTTGTAGTGGTTTCGGTAGAGTGGGTGGGAGGCGTAGTCGTTGTCAGAGTTGTGCTTCTTCGACTTGTTTTTGGTGAGGAGGTTGGGCTGGACTCTGTTGACGCCGTGGTTTTGGACGTTGTAGAGACAGATGTGGTTGGTGTTGTTTTCCTGGTACTTCTTGGTGTTGGGGTTTCTACCATCTTAGTTACTGTGCAGGAGAAATGTGAATCGAGATGGTGACGTTGACAAGAAAACGGTAGATTGCAGAGGAAGAGTTTACCATGACTAAATAATTGTAACATAAGAAACAGGGGGTTTTGATGAGGTCACCTTTGTGCTAGGTTAATAGCAATTTTTTTTGGAAACAATTGAGAAGTGGCCCTCTCTCATCCTTATACTGTACTCCTGTACTCCTTCTGGCACATGGGATAGAAAATGTCCTTTTAACTGCTCCCCAGTACTGCTCTGAGATCAGTGAAAGCCTGTACCATTGACTCCTGTTCTGGCCAGGGGATGTCCATTGAGTCCAGTAGTGATGATGTCAGCACCAGCTCAGACTGTCTCCACACTGGTGGCATATCAGGTGGCTTCAGACCTGTTTTGCCTCTCGCTCTCTGACTCTCTACTAGTTCAGCAGTTTTCCAGTCCTGTAGTTTCTACCACTTTGCTCTACATTGTGCCTTTGGCACCTTCAAGCTATATCACAGAGCTGCCGGGGTCATTGGCATTGCAGCTCATACCACTCCCAATGGAATTGAGGCTGACACCAAGCTTGGCACCAAAGTTCCCCTCAACGCTCGTGCATCCTTTGACACAGTCACTGCCCTGGCAGCAGATCCTGTCATCGAGCTTGGTACCATTGTTGACCTCAGTGCCAACACCTCCTCCAGTGCTGGGTGGAAGTTTGTCTTGCTCAGTTCCACTGGTGCCAACTCCCTGTTCCTCTTTGGCACTGATGCTGCCCCCCCCTTTTGGACTTTGGATGAGTCCAATTGTTTGTTTGCTTCATCAGGAATGGCTCTCCTGTTGTCAACAGGGACTCTTCAGGACTCCTTGAAATCCAGGGGTTGTCCTCCCCTTCTTCCTCACCCCTTAGGCACCAGAGACCATCTCTGGATCACCATCGGTACCGAGATTGGTGTTGTTCCTGCAGTCAAGACAGGGCTCTTGTCCCTGTGCCCATTGATCACGCATGCCATATTTGTTTGCCCAGTGGCCTCCTTGGGATGGTCGTTGGTCTTTGAGGTCCCATTTGTTGACCTACTCCACAGCAAGATCACCAGTCCCATTGGTGTCTCCTGTTCCTGAACCATTGCAGCTAGAAGTAACCACTGAACCTGTCCCCTCTGGGCCTTCAGGGTTATCCGACTGGTTCCTGTTGTTCAAGAACAGGATCCATTGTTGGCACAGCAAATCACTTCTTCGTCCTCCCCAGATGACTCTACTGTGCCAGGCTTCTCCTCTTCCTTTATGCCTGAGGTCTTAAAGGCATATCAGGACTTCCTGAGGCATATGCCCGCTACCTTAGGCATCCAGGCTGAATTTCTGCAGGCCCTCTGGAATACTCCCATGTCATTGCCTCCCACAGCAAAACATGCAGGGAAGTGGTACCCCATCCTCATGCAGGGTTTTGAGGGTTTCTACTCCCACCTGGCCCCTAACTCTTGTGGCAATTGCTGAAAATGACAGGACACAACGGGGAAGGTATAAACCTATGCCTAAGGGCAAGAAGTCCAAAATGATGGTCTTGATGGGTCTACTATTTCCTGCAGATGTGTATCATGAGCCAGCAGGCATTGCTCTCTAAATACAACTTTGTTAATTGGGTGGCCATGTCTAAGTTTGAGAACAAGTTGCCAGAATCCTCCAGGGTCGAGTTTAAGGCATTCATTTCAGTGGGCTTTACTGTAGCCTAGACTTTGTTACAGTCATCCACGGACGTGGCAGATGCCTCGGGCAAAATTACGGCACCAGATGTGACCGTGAGGAGGGCCTCATAGCTGCAGAATTCAGACATTTCACCTGATGTACAGCAGGTCACTGAGGAATTACCTTTTGATGATTGGGTTTTGTTTTCGGAAAAGACCAATGAAACCTTGCAGTCTTTTAAGAATTCCCAAGCTACTTTGGGTTCCTTGGGAGTTTATATTCCACCGGTACAGAGATACCACTATAGCAGTCAGCAGCGACACCAGCAATACTGCTCACAGTATTTCTTCGGGTGGTCCTCCTTTCCTGTAAGACAGTGGGACTGCCCCAGGAAGCGGCATAGATCTCAGAAATGAAGGACATCTGGTTCAGGATTGGGCTAGCTGGCTCTTCCTTCCTCAGCATCCAGGAAGTGGCCATTTCGATTTGTGTCCAAGACAGCAATCCAATGATGGTCTCTCTCCATCTCCATTCCCCCTGTTCAGGAACAGGCTGGCTTGTTTTTACGATGTTTGCAAATCAATTACCACAGACAGCTTATTTGGGATAAGCTTATTTCCACATAGCAATTCTCCTAAGCCACAGGAGGTTTTTCATGGCAGACCAGCACTATCAGTCCACCATGATCCCTTTTAGTCTGTCTTTGGCTCCCTGGGTTTTTACCAAATGCATGATTGTAGTGACACTGTACCTCAGGAAGAGGAGAATTCATATCTTCCAGTATCTGGATGATTGGCTACTGAGGGGCAAGTTCAGAGAGGCTGTTCTCTCTCATATTCAGTTCATGCTACGCTTACTTGACTGTTTAGGTCTCATCCTAAACAGCAGAAAATAAACACTGGTCCCAACTTAAAAATTCAGGTATATTGGGACTCTGATAGTTGAAAGTGTTTCTGCTGACTGAATGATTCCACATGATTCACCACCTATGTTTGGAACTGCACTCTCAACAGCTCAAGTATGCGTGAATATGCTAGGCCATAGGGTAGTCCAATTTGCTAGATTGCACCTTTGTCTTCTTCAAACATGGCTGAATTCGATCTATCCTCTGACTTGTCATCCCTTGGACAGACTGGTATGACTTCCTCTGCTGATCCTGGACTCCTTACAGTAGTGGACCATTCAGGACAATGTTTGCCAGGGCATTTCCTTTGGTTAGTGCCCATTGACCACAACTATTGTGACTGATGCCTCCTTAGTATGTTGGGGAGTGCATCTGGGGTAGCCGAAATTTCAAGCCCTGTGGTTGAAACAGGAAGCTTCTTTGCATATCAGCAACCTGTAGCTCTATGCCACCTACAGTGTCTGAGTGTCACAGGCCCTTCGAGACCATATCAGTGACTTAATGGTGCACATCCTTACTAACAATACCACTGTGATGTATTATGTGAACAGATAGGTGAGAACACATTCCAGTGTGCTGTGTCAGGAGGCAATCAGACTCTGGAAGTTTTGCATCAGAAATAACATTACCCCCCCCATGGTCAATCATTTACCTAGGATCCAGAATCAGCTGGCAGATCACCTCAGCAGAAATCTCTCCCTAAGTCACGAGTGGTCTCTGAAGCCTAGTGTCCTGCAGTCTGTCTTTGGGGTTTTGGACAGTGTGACAATAGGCCTGTTTACCATGAGAAGCAACAAGAAATGCTGTCTGTTTTTCTCTCGGGGAGTAGGGGGGGGGTCTCAGTCCAGGGTCCCTGACCAATGCTTTTCATTTGAGCTGGGAATTGACACTCCTATATGCTTTTCCTCCAATTCTGATCATCCCACAGGTCATTCTCAAGCTGAAATTGGATTGTGCCAGGCTCATTCTCATGGCTCCAGCATGGCAGAGACAGTATTGGTTCTCCAACTTCCTTGCATTATTGTTAGGCCTCACATATTTCTTCTTCTTCATCCTGACCTCCTCACTCAGCATCATGCTTAGATTTTGCATCCCGTGCTCAGCTCCGTGCGTCTCATGGTGTGGATGCTGTGTGGTTAGATTAGGAGAAGAAACGGTGTTCAGAGTTGGTCTGGCAAATCTTGCTTAATAGTAGAAAGCCTCAACCAAAATGCCCTATTTGGCCAAATGGAAGCAGTTCTCCATGTGGTCATTATCCCAGGGAATTCACCCAAAGATGCCTTGTATTCAGGACATCTTGGAGTAACTGGTACATCTCCAGTCTTCTGGTCTTCCATTTAGTTCATTGAGAGTGCACCTGGTGGTTATTTCAGTGTTTCATCCACCCATCCATGGGAAGTCGGTATTTTCAAACTCAATGGTAGTTAGGTTCTTGAAAGAAGTCACTCATCTCCAACCTCCAGTGAAAGCACCAGTTCCTTTGTCAGATCTTAATGTTGTCTTAGTTGCTCTTATGAGACCTCTGTTTGAGCCTCTGGCAACTTTTCCGTTCTCCCTTTTGAGTCAAAAAACTGCTTTTCTTGTGACGATAACATCTGCAAGGAAAGTATGTGAGTTGCTGACTTTGATAGCAGAGTCTCCTTACATGCAGTTTTCCAAAGACAAAGAAAACCTGTGGCCACAACCTAAGTTTTTATCTGAAGTGTTTTCTCAGTTTCATTTGGACCAAGTTATATATCAACCTATATTCTTCCCTGAGCCACATTCAACCCCGAATGAGCAGTGTCTTTACATGTTGGAGGTCAGGTGATGCTTGGCTTTTTACTTGGATAGAACTAAACCTTTCCGGTTTTCATTTTGTCTGTTTGTTATGGACCAAATGAAGGGGTAAGCAGTCTCTTCACAGATGAACTCCAGGTGGATAATTTCCTGTATCATGAGAGCGTATGGAGTAGCTCAGACTGTGCCTCCTCAAAGGGAGTGAGCTTATTCCAGGAGGGCCTTGACAATGTCAACAGCATTTCTAAGTGACATTCCTATATTTGACATTTTCAGGGCTGCCACTTGGTCCTTTGTACGTATGTTTCCAAACCACTATGCTGTTGCTACTGCATCCAGTTCAGATGAAAACTTTGGGAAGACAATCCTGCAGTGCTTGTTTAAATAGACTCCAAGCCCCACCTCCTGTGAGTACTACTTGTGAGTCACCTACATGGAATACATGGCTGCATCCACTCAAAGAAGAAAAAAAGGTTATTTAACTGTATTATAACAGTTCTTCGAGATGCGATGCAGATGTGTATTCCACAACCCTCTCTGTGTTCCCCACTGCACTGGGGTCTGTACTCCTGATATTCGGTGCAAAGAAAGTTAGGAGAGTGAGGAAGGTGCTGCCCTTATATAGCCAGGGGACCGACTAGGGCCACAAGGTGCAAGTGCTGCCAATATAGATACTGCTAGGCAAATATCTCTAGTTTCTGTGTTCTGGGTGCATGCACACCCACATGGAATACACGTCTGCATCACCTCTCGAAGAACAATAGTTACAATACAGGTAAATAACCATTTTTTAGAAGCTAAATTCCCTTAAGATGCTATCTGCATTGCTCATGTCCAAGTCTGGTACAGATCACGACTTTCTCTGCAGTCGCAGCTCTTGCAAGTTGAGGATGCTCCTACTTTTAGTCTTTATTTTAGGGCATGACAAACTGATATTAGAGTTCTCTGCTGTTCATAATAAAATTTCACTCTCATGGCATTTGTATAACAAACACAACATTAATTGTTAATATCTTCAGTGCTATTTGAATAGGTAAGATTTTCAGTTCTCTAGGCATAAATGATTTATATTGCAAAAATCTAAGGATGGGGAATAACTTTTTTATTTTTAAAAAAGCACAGTATTGAGTGTACAATTTGTATAACAGGATGGGAATTAAGTCTAGGTAAAATTGGTGGAGCTTCCTCTGTCTTTCATAAGCTCAGTCTTTCTTGAATATGGATTAAATTTCATAGTGACACAAAACCCCATATTCTTCACACTTTTAAATGTTTCCATTATGCAGCCTACGCAAGTTTTTCTTAACAATGTACTTTTTTTTAAACATGCAGACAATTCGATAAATGTAATTTATTAGAAACAATGGCAGTAATGAGAAAAAAAATGAAACAACGTACCGGTTGTTGAGATGACTGTAGGGGTGATTGGTGTTTCTGAGGTTGGTGATATGGTTGTTTTGGTGGTGGTTATTGGTGTAGTAATCTCAGTTAATGTTACGATTGGGGTAGTTGACAGTGTTGTCTTTTTCGTAATAGTGGTTACTGGTATGGAGTGAGTAGTGGATTTGATTGTGATAGGTGTTGTTTTTATGGTTACTTTTGTAGTAGATAGGGTGGTTGGTGTAGTGCTTAAAATAGTGTGCATGGTGAACCCTGTGGATGGAGTGGCTGTTGGTGATATGGTAGTAGTTGGTGTTTCAACTGTAGTAGTGCTTCTTGGTGTTTTAGTTTGTACCGTTGTCGTTACTACAAAAGAAAATAATACAAATGTGGATATTGAGCACAAGAAATAATTTTTAGTAATGAATTTCTATGAATACATGTCATATGAATAGAAAAATGATTTGAGGAAGAAGCAATATTACAAATATCTTTTATTATACATATACAATTTGACATAATTTAACTACTCTCCCCTTCTCTGTCACTTAATAATGTACTGACAAATGACCAGAGTAGGAAGATGTCACAAAAACTTTATTCATTTTTTCTTTCTTCAATATACTTTTAAGTTATTTCAGCAGTCTTAAATAATACTGACTAAGAGCTATGGAAATTAGTCTATTATCCTCTGAATTTTACAGTGTGGACAGTTGGCACTGTAATCTTTTCCACACTGCCCTTCCATTGGCCTTGATTTTACATAGACATACACTTGTTTTGCGTTCCAGTGACATCATAGGAATTCCACGCAAGTGCAAGGGTCAGCAACTTTAGATCTCTTTAACATATTGGACAAGTATGTCTTGACTGTTATGTAGAATGAGCACTTCTAAGATTGAGAGACTGTTTGATCTCCAGGCCTGATCAGTCATTAGTCTCTGAAGACTACCAATTAGTCACAATTGTGATGCATACACCTCTCCACTAAGAACTGGGCTGAGACTACTGATTAATTTCATATAGAAGCAGGCCAAGTCAGGTGATAATTGTCTTTTGTCAATCTCAGCTTGTCCTGAATTTTAACCAGTAGAGATATCTCATTGCTAATATCTTGAAGCATTCAGTAATCACAATCCCGCTATAACTTCCTTCTGAATTTAAGACAAAACATTCAAGAGAGTTTTGTGTAATGCCAGGATACATATCATTATTGCATCTTAAGCATTTCAGAGGAAAGTGAAATAATCTTACAAGGACAAAAAAGTGCTTACTATTGAAAATGAGAAGTCAATAAATATAGATATCTGGAAGATAATATCTGACTATTATATCACATATTATTTCCACTGACTACAGAACTAACCTGTTGAAGGTGTAGAGGTTTCAGGGGTCGTCCTGATGGGCTCATGCGGTCCTGTTGTGTAAACATAGAAGAAAGGTTTTAATATGTGAATGAAAACAAATTAAGAAGCTATTCCAAAGGGGAGAGTTTACAGAATGAGTGAAAATGAAAGAATTGCAACAGTCAGCAAGACGTCCCTGAAAATGCTCAATTCTTATACATTTAATTGCAAATCTTTATTTCGGTAGAAATAAACAATATTGAGGAAATCAGTACTTTGTTTGAATGACCATGCTTTTGCTATCTTTGTCACTATATTCATGTTTAAGGATAGCTTTATTTCTCAGGAAAATGTACATATGGATTTTCTGCAGATGGTATAGCCCCAATAACTAGGAGCCTGGAATGAAGGTTGTTATTGTATAACATGGAAATTACCCTGGATCCAACATCTGGATGCAGATCCGAATTTTGCAGCTTTGAGCCTATCTGTAATATTATCTACCTATCTATGTTTTTATAAGATTCCCCATCACTGTGATACAGGGGCACCACTTAGTGGTAAAGATTTCAAAAGTAATAAAAAGCAGGCATGTTCGAAAAAGGAACTTGTTAGATAAAGTCTAGGAACTGCATTCTGTCCAGTGCCAGAACTCCACTCACTGTGGGAAAGGTGTCAGGAAGCCAGTTATTTTCAGGAGCACTGAGATGTTTATAAAATGCTCAAGCTTAGAATGAGGGTAACCTTTCATCACAACTATTAAAAGCATCGTGAGCATTCCAACTACGATTGAATTTACAATGCCTCAGAGCCTGGCGTTTTTTAGTTGCCTGTTTTCCTTTAACCATCTGATGACGAGTTCGCAGTAGAGCAACACAATTATTACCAGTGCTTGGATGAGCAGTCATCATTAATCGATAGCTCTTAAGAACAAACTCCTCCTTCAAAGGATTCAGTTTATTCAATTTGTAATGCTTCCAGCTTTTGCAGAGAAAGAGCGTGACTGTATAAATCTCTACTTACTGCAAGGCTTGCACTGTCTCTCCTCGTGATCAAAGTATTCATTATGCGAGCAGTTGTAACAGCCTGGAGATTGGGGAGAGAAGTACATTATTCAGTCCTCAGATAATAGCAGTTTTCTATAACCTTTCTTCCTAAACATGTAGGTACTAATATAATAATACGAAGTTAACAGAAAATGAACATGTATTGACCACAAGCTGTGTCTGTCATTTAACCAGTGGCATCTCCAAATTCCTTAAGGCAATTTCCCTTGATATGGTAGGAATTAGAAGCTTCACATTCAAGACAGGCTGAGCTCATTCAAGCACTCAGTGTACTATGGATTCTATGTCAATTACTTATTCATTGTGATATTAGTAAGAGAAGGTGAAGATGAACATACTACAAAGTAAGACTCTGTAACCACTGCTCCAAAAATTATGCTAATGAAAACATCATTGCCTTAACCACTGGTTAATACAGTAAAAATAACTATTGTGTTATTATTTTCAGCTTTATAAAGTTATTGTGACGGATACTGCAACCACATGCAATATCTTTGGGCACCATATTGTACTAAATTAATGAATGGTTTATATAACACTATAGGCCATGCATTGTATGCAACTCCAGGTGGGGAGGTTACCACAGCTCCTCCAGGAACCAAAACCAGTGAGGTGTGATTAAGGTGAGTCACTCAGGTTGTAAACACCTCTGGAGAGGTGTCACACCCAAGTGAGCTTGCATATACTTGTTCAAACTGGGTTTTCCAGAGACCACCAGACAAAGAATGGACTTCTGGTATAAAATGTCTGAGTTTAAACTAACACAGGGCCTTCTTCTGATTCAGCAAATGGCCAGGACCCTTGTGGAAGAGTTGGAAGAACTTTGGCTTACTAGGACCCTATAAGGCTGATGGGTGACCTCTGAGAAGTTTTTAGCATGCATACAGGAACTTTTATTGTTTGTATGTGTTTGTTTTTGTGAACCTTAGTGGTAACTGGTATACACTGCTGTAGCCCCTGGAGAAAGGTTAATCACAGGTACTGGACCCGGGTCCAACCTGCTGGGGAAATCACAGTGAAGTGGAGAGGGACTGCAAGCCTAAACCCCCAGTCTGGAGGGAGAGAGGCATGGATCACTGCCTGAGAAGCGTGACGGCTAGGAGCTTGAAACCATAAGTGGGTGTCCTCGAGGAAGACCTAGGGTGGGAGGGTGGTCAAAAGTGCAGCTAACCCAGAAACTGTGAAATCATTACCTTCAATGTTGACATATTTGTAGTTTTGTTGCGGGCAATTACAAGGTCGGTAATGCCAGGTGCAATTTTGTTCATCCCAGTAATTGTAGCTGTAGGTGCCCTCACTGCCTGACTTTTGGTGTGTGTTGTAGTAGTCACAATAGACAGCTGAAAAAAGCAAAAACAGAATAAAAGGTTGAATTTTTCAATTTATGGAATGTAATTCCTCAAAGGATTCAGAATAGGAAGAAGAAAGCGACTCAGCAGTACTTGGTGACTCGATGTGAGCCCTCCATCCTCCGCTGTGGGTGAACTGATTTGAATCTGTGTTCCAGTGAGGTGTGAGTTAATTTCCTCCTTTCATAAGAAAAGGGGCAGACACAGGCATTTAGATATTTGTCATGTATAATATATTGATGTGTTAAATGGAAGCTATCAAGAACTGTAGCTTTAAAGGTTTGTTTATAATACCCTGTGAAGCCTGTGCATAACATTTTTTCTATATAGCAACCATTGATCATTTTTCCCTGCTTTATGGAGCCCCAGCCAACATAGCTTTCTCTGTTATTTCCTTGCAATCCGCACAAAGATGATTTCATCACAACTATGAGAACAGGTTTTGTTTGTTTATTTGTTTTACAATATGGTGTTCCCTCTACTGGCTAGTTGGCTGTCAGTTCTGCAGGAGCAACAGTTGCAAGATTGCAAGATTATTATTTGTGACTGCTAGATTTTTCTCCCTCATTTCTCCATGACACGGTAATGCATTTCTGGTGAGGTTAATGCTGACGAAATGTGCAAAGTTACGAGCACTAGAGGATGAAGTCATCCATTTATCGAGAGCGCAGATACAACATGGGAAATAGCTGCACAAGCAATCCCCCCATGCTGCCCCATCAATGCACCTTAACCCTATAATAATAATGTGTTCCTTTACCGTGGGTCAAAGTGTAGAATGAACTGAAAACAATAAATATTGTAATAAAAATCGTGTGTTGGTTTTTAAAGGTGTTCAAGAAACTTACGACAGAACTCTGGGGCTCTCCAGTCAATGCAGACACCCACATCTAAGCATGCCTTGGCATACACTGCAATGGCATCACACATGCATTCACAGTCTCCTCCAGTGTCACACCCACAGGAGTCTCGGACACAGGCATCATAATAAGGCATACGGTATACCTTGGGTTGAGAGAGAAGGAATACGTTAGTTAACCAGAATTCTCTTGTACCTGTGCATTGGTCAATAAAGTTTCTTTCCTGTTTCTAGCTGGGCTAAACTACAGATGTTAGCTCAGGGTAAAGGGAGAACATTCAGAACACAATCTGCTCTGCTAAGTGAGAGTATGAATTATTCCTGTCGTTGTTGAGCAGTAAAATAAGCACAGCAATAACACAATTCCAATTCAAACTGTTATCTTTAGGCACTTAGGCACTGCAAAATATCAATAGAAAATTATGACATTTTGAAGGATATCTCTAGATCCATATGTGTACTTCAACAGCTATATAGTTTCCATGTGATTAGGCAGCAAAACACATCAGCTCAAATAGAGGCACCTATGTTCAGCAGTTTCATACCCTGCACGGACACACATGAACACTGTTCACATTTCTCACTTGAGCTCACTTCTTGAAGACCATTTACAAACAGGAGGTACAAAATATTAAAGTGAAGCAGGTGCAAGAATACATTTCATGCATGTGGCATTAATGCATCCCGGGGAGGAGGAAGGTACATATTGAAGTGTGAGGGGATCATCCTTTGGAATACTGTAGACTATGTGTAAAGAAGGTCAAAAACTTGCTTACCTTACTGTGACATGGAGCAAAGACCTGGCTGTTGATGATGGAACACTTCCTCTCTGCCCAAGCTTTACGATAAGGGTTCTTGCTACAGGGATCAACTACAAAGAACACGTCCCCACACATAGGATTTTCCTTCCAAGAATTTACAAACTCCAGTTCATTTGCTGCCACGTATTTGCTTCGGGTTTCAAAGTCATCTCTCATGTTCCCATTGTAATTCCCACACAAACCGCAGAGGTGATCCTAGATGAAGAAACGAAAGCATTAATATTAGGTTGCCCCTTATTTGCTAATTACAACCAATTGTCTGAATTCTCTTTCTGTTATCTGCACTACTTCCTGTTTCTGATCCATGATTGCAATCTGTAAATACTGTGCCACATACTGTTAGTTTTTTGTTTGTACAGCCTTTCTCATTAAATGAACAATGTAAGGAAACAGTGGAGTTCTTCCTCAATAGTGTTCACACACAGAGATATAATTTGCACCTTTATGAGGTCAAAATAAATTCAGATGCCCTGTACAAATTTCCCTGCCCTTCTGGAGGATGAAAGGATGTGTTGTCATTTGGACAACACATGAGCTATCAGCCCAAAGATTCATGTTGTTGTGAAGTTGGTTAAGCAGCTAATAAGCAGCATCCAGTGAAGATCTCTGCTGCTCCAGGAGGGATGGGATTTATGAGAGGCCTTCCTAGGAGACCCCTGCTGCTGTAGAAAGTTGTTACAATTGCCATCTCATGTGCAGTTTGATTTGAATGTGGGGGTAAATGTATTTAACTAAGGAAGTTAAGGAAAGTTTATTAGGAAGTTACTCTGAATTACCTGTGCTTCTCTGAAGATCTTGATGAAAATATTCATGTGCTTGTTCCAGATAAGAGTCATGTTGTATTTTCCTGGGATAATGATATCGAACATCAGGTGAAGGGCATTCTTTTTCACGTGGAATTGTGTCAGAGGATTGTCCCCATATACAAGGTAGGTTCCCTCTGCCAGTATAAGTGTCATATTCTGAAAGCAAATTGGCCTGTAAGTTATAATATATCTCTCAGTATGTCCCTTTCTGTCTTCATAACATTACCAGGAATCACTAAAGGGTGCTGCTACAGATTGTCATTTCTCTGTTTTTCTGAACTGATTGATTGTGGTTAGATCTTGGAGAAATAGTTATTGTCAGCTGAGTCACAGTCCTTAGACGATGAGCATCTCTGCCTGAAGTCTGGTCTACACTACAGACCTATAGCAGTATAACCCTGAGCGATGTAGTTGTACTGACCTAACCCCCCATGTAGACAGCACTAAGTCAGTGAGACAGCTTCTCCCCTAGACAGAGCTACCACCTCTCAGGGAGGTGGATTATCTGCGCTGATGGGAAAGCTCTCTCCTGGGTGTAGAGCATCTTAATTAAAGCACCAGAGCAGTGCAGCTGTGCCAATGCAGTGTTTTAAGTGTAGACGTGCCCAGAGTGTGTCTCAACATAATTTCTTGAGGTGTAGATGTAGCCTATGTTATGCTTATGTAAGAAAGCAAAGCAGTGCATGATGCCAAAACATTATTCTCTTCTTCCATCTGCAACAATCCCACGCAAAGGTAAAACCTAGCCTGCCCCCGGCTTCCTGGATTTGTTCTAAGAATATGCAAGTTTTGATGAACATGAAACAAACCCACCAAGTTTAATGGTGAGTGTAGGGTGCAACAGCACTTCGTAATGGATTGTTTTGTTGAATATAACACTGCCATCACACTTATTTTATCTGTGTGCAGCAGGCTGAAGCACAGAGTTTTATTTCCATGATTTAAAATGAGTAGATGCAAAGTTACATAGAGAGATGGTAACTAATATTCAGTTGATCAGTTTTACCTTTCATGTACGCTTGTACTTTTACATCTTTCCTGGTGCACAATAACAGTTGCTTTTGGACCAATAACAGTGTTCCTCTGGATCAAGTATTTAGGAGTTATGTGCAAAAGAAGCTACTAGCTTCTTCAGTAAAGCATTGGCTTTTTGCCTTTGCTATTGCTAATTAACCAGGTGGCAAGTGTGTACTGTATTAATGATAGTTCCCTGGCCAAAACTTCAACAGTCTGTGGTCCACATTTGGTTTGCTATTGAAGCATGACTCTGAGATAATCTGATATTGATGCACTTTTGGTTCCCTCAGGACTAAGAACCACAAACTTACAAGGGAGGATGGAAGTTCTTAGGTTACAGAGAAAATAAGAATAATCACTTTTTCTAGTTAATGTCTGCACCAACAGTGAGCAAGTAGAGGAACTAGAGGCATTTGGAGCCAAAGCCCACTAGCTGAATTAGAGGGATTTTTTAGGATTCATATCCTGACCATGATGAGTCTTCTTTAATTTCACACAACTACCTTCTTGGCTTCAGCGTGTGGCTCAGGCAACATGGTTGATACTCTTCCATGGCAGGATTCTCCAGTATGAGGGTAAAATCCAAGGCTTTACTCTCATGGCTTTTAGACAGGCCACAACTTCGGGGAGTGAAAGACTGAGATAGGGATTTCAAACTGAGACGATATGTTACACCCTGCTCCAAAGCTCTAGGTTGCCAAGTAGACTGCCCTATAAGACTTGACTGTGGACTCCTACACTGATATGAGGGCCGACCTGGATGGATAAGAGCAGCATGATCTTACCCCAAGGTGGATCTTGATGGACCTGGAGCAGGTGACCCCTGATTTCCCACAGATGACATTCTCGGTCACAATTTTAAAGGTAGAGTGAGAGCTGTTCATACCGCAACCATCCTAAAGGAGAGAAACAGAATTGCGTAACCATTTGAGAGTTCAAAGTAGCAGGGTGAACAAGAAGAATCAATGTGCTGAACTACCACTTCAGGGAGTTTGCCTCTCAGCAAAACAGGCCAGCCTCACACAATGTCCCCATCCACTTTGTAGCATGCTATAATTCCATCTCTGACTAGCTTCAAATCCAGTTATCGGATATCAGTGAAATCATTTCAGTGGAATTTGTATACTTGCATCCCTCAGCTTCTGGGGTATTCAATGGCTTGTGGCAGCTTGGGCATTTTACCCATCTCAGAAACCACATTTTTGCAGGGGGAAAGGAGGGAGTCAGTAGGGTACTGCACCCTTCCATGGTGTTACTCTTAGAAGTTCCAGTGATCAAACTGCTGATTTGGTTGTAAGAATTACAACACTTCACTAACCAATTTATTTGAGCATGAGCTTTCGTGAGCTACAGCTCACTTCATCCGATGAAGTGAGCTGTAGCTCACGAAAGCTCATGCTCAAATAAATTGGTTAGTCTCTAAGGTGCCACAAGTACTCCTTTTCTTTTTGCGAATACAGACTAACACGGCTGTTACTCTGAAACACTTCACTAGAAAACACAGTCTAGCTGGTGTAATATGGCTATGTGGGTAGATCATCCACAGGCACTCAAGCATGTTAGGAAATCTTCTCAGTATCTTTTGTAATTTCATATAAAATGTTGGGATTATATTTGGTTGGTTTGGTTGGTGGTGGTTTTTTTTTTTGGGAGGGGGTTGCGTGTGTGTGTGTGTGTGTGTGTGTATAAAGGGTTTTGAGTTGAGGTCTAGAAATGAGCCCTAAATATGTCAGAGTTCATAAATCAAGCCATTTCTTGGCAATGAGAACACTTAGTACTGATGTTACCGTAGCTAGTATGTATTCGCAGTTGCCATCAAACACAAAGCGCTGTCCATCAAAAGTGGTGACATGTCCTTCTCCATAGAGGGTACATGTTGAGGAGCATCTAGATTTCTGAACACATTTCCATTTGCCTCTTGTACAGGTGCTAGTGGTGAGAAGAAAATTCTTGTTTGGAAGATTTCAAGGGCATGCAGCTTTAACTCATCTCCTCTACATACACCCATTTTGTATATTCTGTATTAACTTCGTTGACTTAGTTTATATATGTAATGCTGTCAAATTATGATTAATATGGGAACTATAACTTCAAATTTCCTGACTTTTGTGAAAATTAATGCATGCTAAAGATGAAACTTTAAATATATTTTTCCATTTAATTTACTTTAAAAAAGAAAACATGAGGTATTACAGGTTACATTGCTTTGCATAAACAGCTCTTCTTATCACTAAAGCAGATGTTGATGTCCCTTTGGTTATTTTAATGAGAAGGTGTGGACAGGGGTACTGGAACAATTTTTATAATGGGGGTGCTGAGAGCCAGTGAACCAAATTGTAAACCCTATATATAATGGAAACCACTTCAAGTCAGGGGGTGCTGCAGCACCTCCCTGCACCCCTAGTTCCAGCACCTATGGGTGTGGAACTAGGAATGGTAGCAACTGCTGATTGAGAATGTAGCTAGAAAAGTAATATTGATGGGTCAGTTGATCTATCTAGAAAAAGGGAGGAGGATTGTGCTTGCACCTTCAATTGTGGTGGAATTATATACATTTCTAGTATGGCTTATAGTTCGAGGGCGCTATTGGACCCCCACTGCTTCTGGATGTGCAGATAGCAGCACTTGTCATTATAGCCTCATCCTTTTTGTGGCTGACCAGCAGACCATGACCTTTTCTCTTAGATATGGACATTGTCCCAATTATCCACGGTTTTATCACTTCTACGCTTTATCACTATGGCAGAATTCCTTTAGCGCTGACCCTCAACTGCTACCTATTCTTCTTCTCCTTGCAACCATGCTGTTGCACTGTATGCTTGTACAGTCTAGACAAATAAATAACTAGCAAAGAGAAAACTTGTGGATTCTTACCAGGTTTTGCATTCGGTGTGGATTTCTTCCCCTTTTTTATAAGAGATGCCACCATATTCACAGGGACACTCATCAGGTGGTACACACATTCCATCTAGATTCTCATATAGCCCATCAGTGCAGACACAGCCTGATTCACACCTAGTGGGTACCTGGGAAAGATCAAGAAATTGCAACATCAGTCATAAAAAATGATGCGTGAAGGAAAGGAACGTAAGGAGAATGGATTGAAACAGTTTGTTTTTATTGACCTATAGCCTTCCTTCAGTTTTGCTTTGCATTATTTATTTGGTGCCAAGAGTCAGCTTATGCTATTACTTAAATCACTTTTACTTGTGCAATTTAATGCCCTGTTATACTAATTTTACTGCAGTTGTAAAATATAGCTAGTGTCTGATGCATAAGCTTTCTGGGGACTTCTTGAAAAAAGTTGTATTTCATGGGTACCAGCTGCTCCAATAAATGAAGAATAATGTATGTTTCTTTCCAGCTCGGAAGTCTCTTACATTATAATTCTGCTAATTGCTCTGTTTCTTTATTTACTAAGAAACTTTTATTACATTATGAAATATATATCGTTATGTATATATATCGATATATACTGTGATTTGTAACTCTTTTCCTGTAATCAGTCAACATTTGGTGAACTTGACATTTTTAAAAAAATGATGTATTTCTTGATATATAATGTTTTATTGTTTGGCATGGAAATATACAGGGCAGTTTATTAAGTAAGTACTGCAATTTTCATGAAGATTCACTGTCTCACTGTTATTTATTAATTCTTATATGGCCTCAATCACAGTGGTATCAGAATACATATCTGAAACGTATTTATCCTCACAACACTTCTGTGACTTAGGCAAGTACTATTGTCCCATTTTACAGATGAGGAACTAAGAAACAGAGATTAAGGGCCAGATTTTTTAAGGTATTTAGGTGCCTTGGGTGATTTTTCAAAACTAATTGATCTTAATGGGTGTTAGGCTCCTAGATGCTTTTGAAAATTCCACTAGGCATCTAAATATCTTTAAAAATCTGGGACAAGGAGACTTGCCCAAGGCTGCATAGGAAGCCTTTTGACAGAGCAAGGAATTGAATGTGGGTCTTCCCAAGTTCCAGGCAACCACTGCTCCACCCTTCCTCTCACAGTGTGTTTCCATCACCGCGATATGATCATAAAGATGTGGAACTCACACATTCAATTCCAGTGGCCAGCATCTGACAGGTAGGGGAACAGGAGGCTCCATATTTGTTCTCTGAATTCTGTGAACATGACACATATTTTTTAGGAGGCTTGCAGTTTTCTAGTGGGAAAAAAAGAGAGAAACAGAAAGTTATGAAAGGATAATTCTGCAACATGGGGAAAATAATGCCTTTGAAGGTGAAAGTAAACTGTAGCCAAATGCATACCTGCAGGGTCCTGAGGTTTGCCAGTGCAACTCAGCTTTCCATTAATACAATAGCTAGAAAAGAAAAGAGTATTTCAGTGTACATCCCTTACTAAATGGGACAATTAAAGCTCAAGTTGTTTTATGGTTTTAATTTTTCCTCTTTGAATGTGATACCCTCCTAAGAAAACAATGTTCAGGCTTTTTGTCAAATGACTTCATCCTTTTCCAAGAGGCAAACATTCCAGCTATGCCTCTTGCACCTCCCAGTTCCTTCAAAATGGAATACAAGTCAACATGCCTCTGCTTACTCTTTGGATTGCAACAATATAACCAGCAATGTCAGTGGTGTATGCAATTTGAGGCAGGGATCATGTTTAAGTGTTGGCAGAGCACCTAGCAGCATAATTGTTATACCTTTTAGTGCTTCTCCAACATTTCCAGGGAAGGCTAGATTTTATGTGCCTAATATTTCCAAAGTAAAAGAGAACCAAATAATTAAAAAAAAAAAAAACTTTTGGACCCCACCCTTCTTTTATAAAGAAGCAAAAAAAAAAAAAAGGGGGGGGGGAAGCAACAGGCCTATTGTAAAAAAAATCTCTGCAGTTCGACAAAACCAAACACATGAACAAATGCCCTCCCTTTGCAGTATGTTCATTTCTTTTAACTCACAAACTTACCAGGTAATGCCACCAATTATAGTTGACTGGTCAGGCAGGATGAACCTCTTATCTTCCAGGTAGCAGTGACACATGGATTTACGCACACATTCACTTCTGTGGTTCAAGTAGGTACCTTTAGGACAGTTGCAGCCATCAATAGGGATGTCAGTAGGATAACATTCCAGGGTTTGGTCGGAAAGTGACAGGCATGTTCTATCACAGGCTTCAGTGTGGTAGCTGAACGTCTGATTGCCAGTACAGGAAATGGCTGTAAAATAAAGACAAGAGTGGGAGTTATGCTTCATTTCCCTGATCTCCCCTCAAAGGGGTGCTGGAGCCAGGGGAAGGTGCTGAATTATATAATGCCAACAGTTTCAGTGTTAACAGCTTTCTCTTGCTTCCCTCTCTCGGAATGTACAGCCAGTCAAAGCATGGCTTGTTATTGAGCTTTGCTGCGAGGAGCAGGAGGGTCTCTGGGAGTAGAGTAGGCTCTGCAGGCCATCCTTGTAAAAACCTCAGGATCTGCAGGATTTCCCCCAGATGGAAAATCAACTGACCCTCCGGGCGATACCAAAGGATGATGACTATGGGGCTGGGTGTGTCGAAGCACTCATAGTTTCATGAGGAGCTTTAGCCATCCTTGTGCTTCTTCCATGGGAGTCGGTGATAAAGCTCAGAGAACATCCTGCTTTTTTGGGTATTTCACATTTACATTCCTTATGAATTCAAACCACTCCTAAAATGCGAATTCTGTAGAATTACCCACAAAAGTGATTTTTTTGTGCCCCAAACTACTCCATGATACTTAATGATATTTCAGCAGCTTAGAGAGAATTTTAGAACTGGAACTGGTCTTAACCCAGGAGAGGACAGCAAAGCCCAGTTTTGTTCCATATCAAACACTGGAATTTTCCAAATGGAAGTATGTTTTTCTGAGTTTTCTAGGTAGCAGCGATGATATACATATATGCATCTGATTACAAACTTTTAAGAGCTAGTTTGGGTCACTTACTGCAGTTGTCTACAGTGTCCCTCCAGTTTTCAAGGATCAGCCCCATTGAAGCACACACTCTTGCATAAGATCCCATGGCAGAACAAATATAAGGAAAGGTCTCCTCATAGTTACAGGCTTGGTAGATGCATCTCTGAAAACAAACACAGAGTATTCTGTTAGGTCAGATGTTTGGAAGTCATCAGCACGCTCAGAAATAAATCATGGAAAATAATGCATTTTATAGATTACACGTAACAATTGAAAATGAACATATCTGTCCGAGTGGCTGATGTAAGTAAAATATACTTAGCACTTATACAGTGCTTTTCATCCTTAGATTTCAAAATGCTCCACAAAGCTGAGTGTAGGTATCATTATCTCTATTTTATAGATAGGAAAACTATGCTCAAAAAGGTTAAGTAACCTTGATGATGTTCATTTGGGGAAGTTTCTTGGAAAATACTCAATCAATTAGCTGTGTGAGAAAAAACCTGTCCTCTCTTTCCTAGTGACTGGGGGGATAGCAGTCTGTGATCATACCAGACCTCGTCTGGCTAGGAGAGAGGAGTTTTTGAATGATTCTTGGTCCTAAGCCCCTCTTGTGCTCTGACACAATGTAGTGCTTCTCACTGCCTCACCTGAAGACCTTAGCAGAAGCTCCTACCTTGTAAAAAGGAGCAGGATTCACCACAGAATGGCATTTCTCAAACACCGTGCCCTTCTTCGTAAGAATGGAGCAATGGGTCTCGGCAGACATTTCTAAATGAGAGAAACAGTCATGGACATTAAGCAATAGAGATGTCAAGAATAAGAGATAAGGAGGTGGCTGTGTCTGTCTTATTTAATTCATTGAGAAGGTAATACTGGTTTTCAGTCACAGAATTGGAAAGTCAGAGACTAAAATCTCAAAGGACTTCAGGATATCAGTTGGAGTATCAATAGGAACTCCTCCAACTTATCAAGGCTACTTCAAACCCATAGTCAGATCTTTAGAGAGAGATCTCATCATAGATTGGCTTATTCAAGAATATTCTAGAAATCTACATCTTCCTATAGATGAAGGAATCAGTGATGTACAGTCCTCTTCTTCTCTCTTAGACCCTTTGTTCCCTTGTGGATGAGCTTATGGTAATCATTCAGAAAGAGGAAGCCAATTAGGGTGATCTGATAGGTCAGGGCATTCGACTTACTGTTCAATTGACTCATAGAGCAAGGATCTGTGTCCCTCTCTGCAGCAGGGTGGCAGTTCCCTGATCTCCAGGAGTCCACGAACAGGCCTGCTGTTCCTTCAATAATATCCATGCTGGTCATGAAGTCGTCTGTAGTGTCTCCATTATAATTGCCACACAACCCTGATCACATGGGGAACACAAGGGCCGAATGAAAAACAAGGAACATTTATACACTAATGATGATATGTCTTTGCTGTATAGTAATAATAAAATGTATCGGTAATTATAACTGAAGTGGTAATGACTACTATAGATTAAATGGGTTAAGCATTTCTGTTATAAAACTGTTTTTCAATCACTCATAACTTTGTCTGTTTCACTTAGTAAGTTAAAATTCACCAAGTCTGTTCATTTCCTTCAGGTGAATTTGTATGGAAAGTTTTTTGGAGAAAAATAATTCAGTTCTTTTTAAAAATAAAAAGAAAGGGAGAAAATACTCAATTCCAACTGAAAAAAGTTATTGTGACTTTTTTTGAATGGCTCTAACATCAAAGCAATTAGGCATAGAAAGTTAGAACGTGGTATGGAAAATAGCCCTCACTGAGAACTGGAATTGAGTGTTCCTGTAAAAATTGACTTTGATCTGGCTGAGTCCTGAGAGCTTGAAGAAATTGCTCTTTCTGCACATGCAATTATTTGGCACTGCTTACAGCATTCTAAACAAAAAGTTGTGCAGAATACGTATTCTTGGCTATATCTGCTGCACAGTAAATCCATGTATCCCCTATGGTGCCCATTGATCAAGAGAGCCACTGGGTTCTTGAATAATCCACGCAATCTTCTAAAATGCACAGTGAATTAGGTTGGGCTATATAGGTGCCCTGACTCATTTGATGTGTAGTAAAGTACATGTTGAACAAGGCAGAGTTTCACAGACACTCTTGCCTTTTACAAAGCACACCTTGTAGAAGATAGGTTGGGAAATCAATGTTATTCCAAAAGAGGGTGGATATCACGCCTAGTCTGTGCCACTTCAAATTCTATCAATTGCTTTTGTTAAGATTGCTGGAAAAAAGCTCTTATCAACACACAATAGCTTTGCATTGTAGCTTTTGAGAATCATAGGAAGAGTTTATCCATTATACAATGGCTATTAAAAGACATAATTTCACCACCTCCCTCCTTCATAATGAAATGTGGAGGAGACTGGATTTCTTACCTAGGGTTCTGCCTTTGAAGAGAAGTCCAACTTTTATATAGGCCTGAAACACTGGCTGAGTTTGAACTATTAGCTCCAGTCCAAAGGTGGTATACATTTGAATGTGGGTGGAGGACTGTTTGAAAATGGTGATGTCACCTAAAATAAATTAGATCATTTAAAATAATTACTTGGATTTATCTATTTATTTTAAAATTCTGCTTATGCATATATGCTGCCTTCACATGTTCCACTGCACGTTTGGGTAACTGCGTTATGGATTTTTCACCTTCTCCTGAAACAGCTGCTATTAGCAATTTTGGGAGAAAGGATGCTGGATCAGATTAATGAAATGTCTAATCCAGAGGTGGGTAAACTATGGCCCGCGGGCCACATCTGGCCCGTGGAACTGTTCTGCCCAGCCCCTGAACTCCTGGTCGGGGAGGCTAGCCCCCAGCCCCTCCCCTGCTGTCCCCTCTCCCTCGCAGCCTCAGATCGCTGCACCACCAGAGCTCTGTCCCGCCACACCTGCTGGTTAGCGCAGCAGCGTGGCTGTAAGCTCCTGCCACTCTGAGTGGCATGGTAAGGGAGCAGGGGGGTTGCATAAGGGGCAGGGGATCCTGGGGGGCAGTCGGGACAGGGAGCAGGGGGCAGAGGTTCTGGGGGGCAGTCAGGGGACTGGGAACAGGGGGGGTTGGATAGGTGTGGGAGTCCCGGGGGTCCTGTCAGGGGGTGGGATGTGGATAGCGGTCGGCGCAGTCAGGGGACAGGGAGCAGGGGGGTTGGATAGGGGGTGGGGTCCTGGGGGGGGTTAGGGGTGGGGGTGTGGATAGGTGTCGGGGCAGTCAGGGGACAGGGAGCGGCAGGGGTTGGATAGGGGACGGGGTCCCGGAGGGGTGGTTAGGGGACAAGGAGCGGGGGCGGGGCTGGACGGGTTGGGAGTTCTGAGGCAGGCAGTCAGGGGGGCAGGAAGTGGGAGGGGGCAGATAGGGGGCAGGGGCCAGGCTATTTGGGGAGGCACAGCCTTCCATACCTGGCCCTCCATACAGTTTTGCAACCCCGATGTGGCCCTCGGGCCAAAAAGTTTGCCCACTCCGGTCTAATCCAATCTAGCACTTTCCATGTTCTCCCTTGTTCTTTACCTGATCTATAAGGTAGCCACTTGAGTTCATCATCATCAGTGAGAAGTTCATTTTGAGAAATCACAATTTTGTCCTGTGAAGAAGAGGGCACAGAGTCAGAATCATAGAAATGTAGGGTCATTTAGTCCATCCCTTCACATGGAGGTAGGATTAAGGATATCTAGGTATCCCTGACAGGTTTTGTCCAACCCAATCCAATCTTAAAAATCTCCAGTAACAGGGATTTCATAACCTCCCTTGGTAAACTATTCCAGTACTTAACTATCCTTGTAGTTAAAGTTTCTCCTAATACCTAACCTTAATCTCCTTTACTGCAGATTAAGATGATGACCGCTTGTCCTACCCTCTATGGACATGGAGAACAATAGATCAGAATCCTCTTTGTAACAGCCCTTAACTTATTTTACGACTGTTATCAGGCTTCTTTTCTCAATTAATCTTCATGATTAAAAAATGTCTCAATCTGGACATTAATTGAGTCATTACTGCATAGCTGGGCTGAAGACCAAATGCCTCTTACTACCTGAGACCTGCAGGCAATCCAGTGTACCCACAGAGTGGGAGAGAGTTGGTATTTCTATTATCTTTATTTTAATCAACTATTACTGTCATCATGATATTTAGTGAGAAAAGATTTATTAATTCTTTTCCTAGCAGACATCCTGCCACCCTGTTTTGATTTTTCACTTTGTAAAACTGGTCACTCTATGTTCAGCACCCCTAACTTGCTGAACTGATGTGACATCACACATCTCTCTGAAGTTGTTACCTTTCCATTATGGAATACACTTCCATTTGAAGCAACTATTTTCCCCCTTTCCCCAGATTTTCATATGATGACACCTGCAATGCCTCTGAATATTAACTCTGATAGACTGGCTACTGGAATGTTGCACAGGACTTGTGTACTGCACTCTTACCTTTGCAGAAAGGTAAATTATAGCAGTCAATGATGTTTCAGAATGAGAGTAACCAGACTTATCATACACAGCCATCAGGGTTCCATTGTATGGAAGGCTGGGACTCTGAAGGAAAACAAAAAAGCATGGTTATGTTCAGGAAAAAATAAGCTATACCCCAAATCCATTTATCACCACAGAATCTTGTATTGTTCTTGCTGTTTTACCCTGACATTGCACTTTTTGGTGGTGTCCATATAAGGTTCCTTGTAACCCTTCTCATTCTCACAAAGTGTAAGTGAACTTGAAGCAATGGAGGAAGAAGGTGTTCTGTTGTGCATTTCCAATATATCTTTAACATTTTATTGCTACCGAGTAACCCTTCTTGTATCACAGCATATTTCTCAAAGTAAACTAACACTGGGGACAGCCTGGTCTCTCCAACCTCTCTTTAAAAGAGAATATGGTGGGCTCCATTTTCAAGTGTAAGTTCCTTTAATGCAGGATTTCAACATGCTACTTAAATGCTAAAAAACTGACACTTAGGCATGAATATTTAAAATAACTGCATTAAAAAGTCAACATTTTTCAACTGTTACCAGCAAGTAATATCTTAGATACTGCAATTTTATCCCATTCTATGTATAGGGAAATATTGTGGTGTCTCAGATACTAGGATGTCCCTGTTAGCAAATGTTGACTTTTGAATGATGGCCATAGTAATGTACGGGGTAAAATGCAAAAAAATGGGTTTCCTGTGTACCTGTTCACAGCCAATACCTTCTTATCGGCATTTGCATCAAGGATACCTATTTTGGTGATCCTTGGATTTTGGGTTTTTGAATTTTGCCGTTTGTGCCCTTTATTAGTTACTAAGAGAATTTACTGGTGATACAAATGCCAGAGACAATTTAAGCTGTTTGAATCCTTGGTGGCCAATTGCTGCGTATTTCTGCTCCTTTAACAAAATCTCCCCTTCTCAGCAAGACTTCAACTAAACTATGAATAGTATTTTTAACTCTAACAAGTGGCAGCCCTTTCTAGGGCAGATACTCAATGTCTGTTCCAGGGGAAATTTCATTTCAGGTTTCTGTTTGTTCCAAGGTGATGAATAAGCTGATGGCATCCTCGACCTGTCTGAGGCTAGGGCAGCCTTGTAAGTAAATACTTTTTACCTGTGGCATTTGCTGGTAAACTTTATGATGGATTCTGAATGACAAAGTTTCCATTTTGTAATTATATTTACTTGCAAGTTGGAGCCATTGAGTATAAACTGTTGAGACGTTATCAAATAACTACAATAAAGATTTAATTTTACATCTATATAATCTGACCCTTTGGACCTGGAAGTGACGTTGGAAGTAAATTTAACAAAGAACCTCTGTGTGATCTATCTGGCACAACAATCCCTGACAGCTTCAACCGTCATGGTTGTCCCCGATAGATCACACAGAGGTTCTTTGTTAAATTTACTTCCAACGTCACTTCCAGGTCCAAAGGGTCAGATTATATAGATGTAAAATGAAATCTTTATTGTAGTTATTTGATAACATGCCTCAACAGTTTATACTCAATGGCTCCAACTTGCAAGTAAACATAATTACAAAATGGAAACTTTGTCATTCAGAATCCATCGTAAGATTTACCAGCAATTGCCACAGGCACAAGGTATTTACTTACAGGACTGTCCTAGCGTCACACAGGTAGAGGATGCCATCAGCTTATTTATCACCTTGGAACAAACAGAAACCAAAAATACCATCCTTATAATGATTATAGTGTGTTATAAAGTTAACTAATTATCCCAAAGCCAATTGCATAGTACCATTTCCTGATTCTAGGAGTTTTCTGACATTACATTATGCACCAATGCAAAACACTTGCCAGCTTTTTCAACACCAAATTGCTACTTGGCATCACGTATGATATGTGGGATAAATGGAGGTCATTGGAAGATTTTAGTTTATATGGGGGGTCGGGGGCGGGAATAAAGGTAGATAGTAATTATGACACTTCCCTTCTGTTAATCTTGTGTAGTTCATGATCTCTGCAGCTTACCTTCATGAGGATATATGTGCAGACTCCATGGAACCGGTATGACCTGGAATCAAATGTGGTGACAAAGGAGCCTCCCTCCAGGGAACATCTTCCTGGGCAGGGTAGTTCATTGCAGTTCCACTGACCCATTGTACATTTACTGGGGAAAACAAGAATGCGCATTAAATGACTATTAACGGTCTAGCAGGATTTGGTCCCACGATCTGGGGTTTTTGTTGTTTTTTTGGTTGCCTTACAACAGCATGTCTGTGGTCATATCTCTGTGTAGCAATACCTTGAAGTTGACAGCCTCAGGCTCTTCCACTGTGGAAATCTGAAGATGACTGAACTGATCATCTTGGATAGTGGTTGATGTATGCCACAATGAGTAGCCAACATGATATAGTACCTTACATGTTCTAAACTTTCATTTCCATTATCTCCTGAATTCTTTTTTTTTTTGGCTCTAAACGTTCAATAACTTCTTAGTAAGGAAATATATTAATATGTATATATTTCTTTCCCTCTGTGAATTTTTTGTGTTTTGCATTATCATTTGCTAAATATATTAGTAGACAAAATTTATCTCAATCTGTAGCTGATGAGACCCTTGTGTGATGGGGAGTCTACCTCACACAAGACTGGAAGGGGTTAAGGTGGCCGAGTAGGCCAGTTAGCTCCACAGGTTGCACCTAGAGGGGGAGCCAGGGAGCAGGCAGTTGAGTGAAAGGAACAGGCAGGGCCTATAAAGTCAGGTAACAGGCTACAGATAGGGCTGCTGAGAAAGGCTGGGAAAAGCAGTCAGCAGTCACTCCCTAGGAAGTGGGAGGAGGGTTGGTGGAGCTGGTATACCCAGGGAGAGGGGGAGCCAGAGGGTAAGAACAAGGCTAGGAAAGGAGCAGTGAGGGCAGAGGGAGGAAGCTGAGAACTGCTGAGCTGAGGGTCCCTGGACTGGAACCCGGAGAAGAGGGCGGGCCCAGGTTCCTCTACCAGGCACCAAGGGTGTGGCACAGAACTGGGTAGCCGTAGGGGAAGACTGCCTAGGACTGCTGATGGACTGTTCCCCAGAAGGGGAGGACCTTAGTGACCTAGCTGGAGTGCCAAGACACGAAGAGGAAGCTGCAGTTCCTGAGGTTGAGAATGGGGCTCCAGAATGAGACAATGGGAGAAGACAGCAGCAGAGGGAAAGCATGAGCTGACAGAGTTAATCTCCAGTACGGCCAGCAGGAGGCGCCACTGTGGTCAGTGAATCCCATGACACCTTGTACGGCTTGGGTCTCCATCAGCCATGTAAATCATAAATAAATCAATGATGAAAAGTGCTGCACTGGAGACCAAATTCCTTCTTTATCCACAGAATAGATGCAGCATGGAAAACAGTGGAGCAATATTCTCCACATTGCAACACGAAATTATTAAAACATTAACCTAGGGGAACCATTTCTAGTGGTGAAAGGGGAGGTTAGTCTCCATGGCCCATTCAGTGCTTCAAAGTCTCTCTGCTCAGATTGCCAGCAAAGTTGACAATTAGTGATAACTCTGGTGATAGTTATTGTAAATTTGCACAGAATAAGGCCACATTTGCTTTTGTACACATAGATCAGGAATTTAGGCATACATTACTCTATCAGCAATTACAGATGAAGAGTCCTGAGTGTTCAAAGCAGATTTGTGTACAGATGATGTAAACACATTTGTGTCTGTCCTCTGAAAGTCTGGGCCACAATTATGTCAAATTTTCCAGCCACTTGGCCAGGATGCTTTCCACACTTTTCAAAGAAACCTGCCACCACGCACCAGCTCCTGCATGTTGCTTTCATGGTAACGCCAGGATCATATTTCTCCCCATTCAGTGTACATGGGCACTGGTCAATGGGAACACATGTTCGATTTTTTGAGATGTCATCAAGAACAGTGCCTATCGAGAGAAGCAAATAAATTAGGCAGATAGACATTTTCAGATGCTTAGCTACCACTTAGCTACTCAGAACTGTTGTATTATGTGCCCTGTGTCTCGCAGAGGCAACATTTCAGAGAGTGGCATTTCAGCACAGCCTTTTGTCCAGACTCAGAGCAGTTGTGTATCATGTGGTTTTCCATATCTGCTAAATTTTAGCTCCCTTATTTAGAATGAGATTAAGTCTATATAAAGAATAACAGATTTTGAGCACTTAATGGGAATGAATTAGCTTTACATTTTATTACTGAAATTTCAGGAAATGCCCCAAAATGGTAATAAACTAAATTTCTGTCGAAATTCTGTCTGAAGTATGCCTCAGGCTTTTACAAACTCTGCATAACAAAGCTCAATCTCTCTATTCACCAATGAAATGCAGCCACTTCTGGATGGCAACTGTCTAACAGCGCGTGGCAACACTACATAAGAGATTAGCACAACAAGTTAATTCTATCCAATCCAATTTAAACAAAAGGGGGGAACATAAAGTAGGCAGGGTATAATTATCCCATATTGGCCAGAATGGGGGTGTTACTTCTCTATTCTTGAAAAAGTGCCAAGGGATCTTTAATGACCCCAAGGGGTCAGGACCTCAGTTTTATATCTCATCTGAGAAATGGCACTTCCAGCAGCACAGTGTCTGATACCATGATGTGGTGTATTAATTAAATGGAAAATTTTTGTCAGCTGGATATGTGCCAAAACTAATTGCATGAATGATTTATGATGAAATCAATACTAGTTTTATGGTAATACTTTACCTTCTGGGCAGAAGCAACCATATGTACAGTAACTGGAACAGCTGTACTCTGGGTTGGAACAGGTTTTAACACACGGAGAACCACACTCCTTATAGATTTGGTCTGCTGAACATTTTCCTACAGCTGAAATACAACAACAATGAAAAGTATTAAGGCATCTTTCTAAATATGAACAAAGGAAAACTTCTCACTGGCCCTAGAGACTGGAGATGAGGCTCTCCCCACTCTCCTGGTATCTGGCGCTTCCTGTAGCACACAAACCTTCACTCCCCATCCCCAGTCTATCATCTCACCATGGCCCAGATACCCAATCTATTCATTTTTCATTCTTTAACCCAGACTTACTGGAGACTACATATTCCAGACAAAGGCTAGAGATCAGATCACCTTTTCTACATGCACCCTACACTTATAGGCGTCAGACCCCTGAAACCATGCACACTTCTGAAAAATGATTTAGTTGGGGATTGGTCCTGCTTTGAGCAGGGGGTTGGGCTAGAAGACCTTCTGAGGTCCCTTCCAACCCTGATATTCTATGATTCTATGAAAATGAGCCTGAAGTCCCTCTGCATCTGTGGCAGGCTGGGAGAGTGATAGCAGATTATATCAGTTACAATAAAAGCCATAGGTGTGGTTTTTAAAAGTGCCTATGTGACTTCAGGAACAATCTTGTTGACTTTCAGTGGGATTTGTGCTCCTAAGTCACTTAGGCACTGTTGAAAATCCCTCCCTTTAGCATTATTAATATACAGAACAGGGGACACGTAAGTTTTTCAGGTGACAACTAGTAGGATTCTCCCATCAGGAAGGGAAAGATAAGTGGGAGAAGGGAGAGTTAAGATTAACATTGGAATTTCAAGCACCAGATCCTCCACTGCCCTGCACCTTATGTAGTCATTTTTACTGCCAAAATCACTGCAAGGCTCATTAAGTAATGTTTGGCACCCATTTTGGACAAGTGTCAATGACTATGAATGGTGCCGAGCAGGGGATAATCAGACCCTTGATGTTTTCAGAGTTTCAGACACTTATTTTTTGGAGTATAATATTTTTATTTTCTAACTTGCAAATATTTGTTTTTTAACCTTCACTCTGAATAGCCTCACTTTTGATTTTTTTGTGACTACAAGTTCTAGTAACATTTTTTTAAGTGAATGGCCTGCTTGCAACATTAACATTGTCGTAGCAAAGACTAGACAGGGGATATTATTTTTAGTATGATTAATGAGCATTATTATATAGCATTGTGAACATGTACAGTGCCTTACAAATACTGATTGGGACAGGCTTGCTGCCCTGAGGACTTTACAACCTAAGAGAGGCAAGACAAATCAAATGCTAAACAAAACTGGGACACCCATTTAGGGAAAGGAGATTGGGGAGAGAATATTGGAGGGATGAAAAAGAGAACAATTCCAGGAAGAAGTGGGATTTGGAGGAGTGGGAGGGGGCGGTGGCACTTGGCATGCGGGAAGCAGGAGATTTCCCTGAGCACAGGGAGAAGCATGACAGAAGGCAGAAAGCCAAAAGTGTAACAAAGAGCTGGAGAGCAGTCATACGTGAAGACTGGGAGGAGTATAGGGACTAAGCGAAGAGACGGATATGAGATCAGAGATGTAGTTAGGGCAAGAGGATAAAAGGCCTTGAAGGTGAGGATAAGGACTTTGTAATAAAACATTGGAAATCAATTACTGGATTCAGGAATATAATCTTGTCTGGATTATATTCATTACCCTTCTCATGCTAAACTCCAAATAAATAGTAGCAGATGCTGAAGTCACAGGTAACAGAATAAGGAGGAAAGAGAAGGATGTTCCTGTTAAAGCAATTTATTTAAAAAATTAACCACTGGTGGGAGAAAATGACCATATAAATACATAAAAAGTAAACAGAATTATGGTTAAATGATGTTTTAAAAGGACAGCCTGACATTATGAAAGGTCATTTTGAAAGAACCTCTTTCTTGGCATACATTATCTCTCTGATAATTTAATGAGTGTTGGTTGAGAAATAATAATCACTTTGTTACCTGTGACTTTCATTGGTCAGCATGACTGCTTATAAAACAATGAAACTCCATTAAAATGCACTAACTAAACATCAGAGTTTCAGCCAGATTCTGAAGGGTTTAATAAAGCAAACCAACTTCCTTGAATCCTGCATAGGATTCCATTCTGCCAGATTTTATATTTGCAGCTAAAGTCCAATCCTGATCCAAGAAACAAACTGTCCATGCCTTGCACCCTGAGTCTGCACTCACTTGGAGCTTGAAGTGGGATGCTTAGGAGCAATTTAACTCCTGTCAATGAGAACCCAGAGGCTTTTTGGTCTCACATTCATATCTTTATTTTCCCCCTTGTCTTTTGCTCCCACCTCAGGGACCTATCTGAGATATGGAAGGGGACACTGTCTCCTTCCCACTGTGGGGGTGCCTAGGCCTGGTGGTTGAGAGCAGTGGAAGGTTTTGAACTGCCAGATGCTACAGCCTTAGCACCTTAAACATTTGCAAAAAATTTTGAGGACTGTTTGTGGACATGTCCCTGCTGATTTGAGGATGCATGCTCCCTGAATGAATGAATGAATACCCAGGGAATGTTCTCAAAACAGAGATTTGATCCCTCTAACTCTTGCTGACTGGTAGGGATTTTGTATGCCTGAATTTAGAGGGAGGCATGTAGGGACAATCCTTTGGCAACCTCCAACATGTGAGAGAGGATTTTTTTGTGTGGCACTTCAGAGCAAAAGCTTAGTAACTGGTGGAGCAGACGATAGGAGGACTTAGGGCTCTTTAAAAGTTGGCTCTTTTCCCGGGTTGATTTGAGGAAGGACTAGCACATAGTGAATACGGTGTAGTGGGCAGAGAAAGCAGCCTGATAGAGAGGGCCTGAGAAGTCTGCCAGTTTTCCGAGGCTTCACTTGTGGGTATTTTCCCCTTTAAGTTTTATGGCCTGGGATCCAAATCCAGGAGCATTCTTCTGCCTTTTGTCTTGCTGCATTGGGGGGGGCTTGTTTTCCCTTTGTTTTTGGACTGGCTGTATAGTATCACTGCAACAGCTGTGGATGATCTGCACGTAAATCTGGCTCCTCCTGAATAACTTGCTGATCCAAAATCAAACGCATCTGTGCCAGATGTTCCACAGTTGATCCATCCACAGATCACGCTACTTGCTTTACTTCAGGTGGATTGGGAGGGTTTGCTTATGAGAGGGAAGGTAAGCCAACTACACAATTAGGTAGTTGTCTTAATGTGTCTTTTCTTTCAAACATCTCCTTTTGTCTTTCTGCTGTCTCTTCATTCTATGGCATTTGGGCTGAATATTGACAAAACTACAAAAAACTACACCAAATGCAGCCTCAGAAGTTATGTTTGGGTACTAAACACCAGTTATAGAGCACGAGGCAGCTCAGCTTTCCCATTAACCAGGTGCTTGGAGTTTCAGAGGAATATGCTTCATTGCCTTAGACTCTGAATGTCACTTGGCATCTAGATCTCTTCCCAAAATGCTGCCTAGAATTCTGTCTTGTCAGTTAAGCTTTCAACTGGGCTGCATTGTGTTGTAATTAAAATTAATGAATATGCTTTTTGAGAGTCCTTTGCCAAAGGTTTGCCACATCATGCCTCCCACTTTGTTAAACTTCAAAACAGGCATGATGAAACCAAACAATTTTGATCCATAAAGGGTTGTACTTTCAGTCTCTTGAGCTCCTTTTAAAGTTGCAAGGAAATATACACATCAAAACAAAATATACACATCACATCAGAACAAAATTCGCTTGATGCTGCCTAGCTTCACCTGATTTCACTTTGTAACTAGTAATTTTATATGATTTCAATGCAAACTAACATATAATGCAAATATAAACTAGCCATTTGTGGCTTTTGCTGAGCCTGATCTGATCTGTATTTGTAATGAAACCTCTAACCTGGAGAATTGAATTGTTTTGAGTTTAATTGCAAACAATTAGCACAGGTGTAGCTGAAAGGAGCAGAGCACCTTTGCTAAGATTACCAGTAATTTCAAAATAATAGGACAAGCACTGACATTAATCTGAATGGTTAGTCCCTGGCTGGGATGATTTAGTTGGGGATTGGTCCTGCTTTGAGCAGGGGGTTGGACTAGATGACCTCCTGAGGTCCCTTCCAACCTGATATTCTATGATTCTATGATTCTATATTTCTTAATAGATGAAATATTACTTTGCCTGTAATGGCTTGTCAACACTGCAGTTTAGCTGACAGAAGAATCAAAAGGAAGCATTTCAGAGTACGGTCTGTTTCTTAAAAAGAAAAGAAAAGATTATTTTAAGGTGTTGGATAAAGAAACAGCTTTAGGAGTGGGTGACCTGGTCAGTTGACTTAGCTTTTGAGCTACGGGGACACAATTTGCGTTATAAATTCAACTTTATTTTTTTTTGCAGGATACCAAACTCTGACTCTTGCAGGTTACCATTTGCTCAAAGATCATCCCAGGGTCTATCCCAACCCAACCCAACCCAATCCCTCCTTGATTTGTATGGGTGGAAGCTTTCCTAGTGGCTTTTAAAAATTTCATTAATCATTCTTTATCTATAGGACATATAAGTCAAGGTGTGGAGTAAAACATTGTAACTTACAGCAGAAGTCTGCACTCCTCCAATCAGAGACTGCTTGGTGGGACATGGTACATTGCCTAGAGTACTCTGACAGTGTAGCACAAGTACAGTTTCTTTGCCCTGGATTGCTACAGTCCTGCATATCAAGCTGACAACGGATGACAAACGCTTTCTTGGACACGTTGCAAGCTGGAGACACAAGGTTGAGTAGCTGGGAGCAGATCCTGGCCTAAATAAATGATAAGAAATAAATGGAAAGTGGGTGCTAGTAATGTCCTTGCTATGTTGAAATGTCTATAAAACAAGCAGATCTTGAGCTTTTAATTACTGGAGGAATTGTTTGCAGCTCTCAGTTATACTACTGTATTTATTTGGATCAAAGTGCATAGGAAATTCTGAAAATGGAAGAGAATACAAATGATACATTTTAAAGGGGAAAGGCTCTGTAAATATTTAATCATTTTTCCCTCTCATCATATTAAAAGCTAATCATTCTTTTACTGCCATCACACTTCCATGACTATGGATTACAGTGTTACATGCAGGGATAATGTTCTCTCATGAAGAATTAGCAGAAGGAAGAATGTATTTTGGAACAGCGATGCTATGGACACCTCCTAAAAAACCCTCGAAGTGCAGATGTGCCTGGCAGCCCAAGAGCACATTGGACATTTAGTGAACCTGTGCCTGATTACAAGAGGTAACACAATGTTTTCTATAGTGTTTCTGGGTGACATTCCTCCTTACAGACAATGATGCTTTTAGGAATGTAGTGATAGCTGGCAATGCTGAATTTTTAAAAAAGATTGTTTTCATTTGCTGGTATTGCACATAATGTTATCTGCTGAAGTACAACATCTCAAAGGAAAACAATGTTAAAGTAGCAGACCCGTGACTGACTGAGCCAAAAGAAGTACTCCACCAGTTCAAAGCAAGATTCTTTTAACAAGTGGGGCTAGAACCCTGCACCGGTGTAGCTCCTCACATCCAGATGATTATTTTCCACTCAATGATATACAGTGGCTCTTGTTCAGACCACTAGTCAGTTCCCTTCCTTATATCCTGCCATTTGTTGACTCACCCTAGAACGGTATTCTAATTGCCTGCTTGTTCTTTGGAGCACTAGAACTAGCCTTCCAGGAGAAGGGCTGTTTTTACAGGCAAATCGAATGGAATTCTTGGATTGTCAAATGAATGGTAGAAAAATATCCTTAAAATAGTAGGGATGGGGGAAAAATGTAATGCTGCCCATTTCAAGAGAAAAATCAATGTCCTTTCAGCACACTCTATATACATAGTGCCTACATACAGTAAAATAGTAACCACTTTATAACAGCTGCAATATAAGTGCATATTCTGACACACAGTTACAATTAGTCCAAAATGAACAACCATCTCTGTAATCTACACCACCATTTAGAAGATAGAGATAAGTATTTGCTTTTTAGGTACGTGGTATTAACTAGACTCCAGAAAATCTTCTAGACAGGAAAGTTCTGTGTAAGAGACAGGAAACTTCTTGAGTTCCCCTGATGAAATGAGATAGCGGAAACTCCATTTGTGAGAAGAATGGGTTTATTCCATATGAAACTGCTGGGGGTTCTGCAGATCCCTTGACATACATGCCAGTTTTATACCTCTCAACTGTCTCCTGCTCCCCCACCTCTACTCCCATCATCCAGAGTACAATGGACTCTGTGCTTCCATGCTTGCAGGTGCTCATCTATCACCCCTCTGGTGTAATTTCACTTGATGGTGGCAGACTCCATGTGAGATGCTGCTGCCTGGTAAAATGATCCTTGCGCACTGAATGTCTTTGAGTTTACACAGTACTTAGTGAGGAGTCATACTGGCCTAATACAAAGATCAGTGAAACCACACTGACGTCAGCGGGGTTTGTATAAGGACCTGTGTGCTAAGAAAGCTGTGTGCTAAGCTTTTGTGTTTCCATTTGTGAGCCTTATAAATCCACACCGGGTTGTATTTCTGGACTGTATAAAACATGTGTAACACTGACAGACCCCAGTTGTCAGGATCAAACCTGGGACCTCTGGAGCTAAATGCATGAGCCTCAAGCCATATGGCCATTAAGTAAGGCTGTAGAGCAAACTCATTAATCTCTCTCTCTAAATGGTCTTGGTGCCATTAGATGGGACAGAACACCACACCCAGGAGGTGTGTGGGTTACATACTTCCCCTAGCTGAGGAAGCACATCCTGAGCTTCAGAGACTTCCCAGTTGAAATCCCAGATGAGTCTCCACTTATAACACCGAGAGACCCTGGTCATTGGTGGGCAGGATCAAACCTGGGACCTTTGGAGCTTAGTGCATGAGCCTCTACAGCATGAGCTAAAAGTCATTTGGCCATTAACTAAGGCTGTAGAGCAAACTCATTACTCTCTCTCTAAGTAGTCTCAGTGCTACTAGATGGGACAGAACATTACACTCAGGAGGTGGGTGGGTCACACATGCATTCTAGTGCAAAGAGCCTCTTTTCTTCATCTCCATACACTAAATCTTTTGATGATGTTAACCACTATCATATCAATTATCATCTCTGAGTTAATGATTCCTAATTCATCTACTTCTCTGTTCAAGTTTATGCTGTAGGCAAGGCCAGAAAAGTGATACTTACATATTTTTTGCGAGGAATATTGGGAATTGCCATCTCCTCAGATGGGCAGATCTCTGATGGGTCATCAATTTTCTGTAAAGTGGCAAACTGGTATGCATCCAGCAATTTACCTGTAAGTTGAGGCACAGAGTAGATCTGAAAAAGGTCTATCTAGACTAGTTTGATGAGCTGATGGTAGCATCCTGCACTGCCACGCAGAAAAAAAATCATGCTCTATTCTCTCACCCTACAATGTGCTAGTGAGTAACTGCATAGTTAAACGTGTTGCTAAAAATAATGGAACATAATTTATAATAAGACCATACCAGCCTATTGAAAGGAAATGTGTGGACACTTCATGGAAGACATGATTGCTGGTATGTACTGGCTTTGGGAAAAAAAATGGTTTCCATGATTTGTTGTGTGTGAGGCTGCTGCCTGCGCTCCCTAAAAGCAGACATCAGCCTGGAGCATCCAGATGAGAATAGCAATGTATGTGTCAGCTCCTACACTGATGCTGCCTGAAAGGCATTGGATGATATAAACTGTCACTTATCAAATGGCTTTTGTCAAGTTCCTATCCTACCTGATAATAAGTAGCTATATGACTCACAAATCTACTTCTCTACCTGTCTTCCTCTGTTCAAATCCAAATCTCAGTGCATCTTTTGGATGACTCCTTATGGATGTCCAGCTATCAAGTTTAAATTTAACTGGGCCAAAACTGAACACTCAATGTCCCTCTAACTGCTCCTCTGTCCTCCCTTTCTCTGTCAATGTCGACAGTAATACCATTCTCCCATCACTCCTGCCTGAAATCTGGGTATCATCTTTGACTAAGTCCACTCTCTAGATCCAAGATGTGCCTAAATCTTGAAGATTCTTCCTATCTTATATATCTAAGATCTGGCCTTTCCTCTTTCTCCACATCACCAAGACTCTCATCTGGACTACTTGCAACCTACTTCTCCCCTGGCATTGCTGACTACAACTATGCCTCTCTTCCCCCCTGGAAGTCCATTCAAAATGCCGCTGCTAGAATCCTCTATGTGGCTCATTGCTCTGAGAATGTCATCCCTCTCTCTTTGACTCCCTCCAAAGGCTCCAATTTTTCCACCATGTTAAACACAAATTTTTTAAAAACCTTTCAAGGCCCTTCCCATGTTAGCCCTATCTTACCTATCAGATCTATTAGCTTACTTAATGCCGACTGCTGCCTTTGCTCTGCCAACAATGCCTCTTTTTACTGCCTGTTAGGGTGAAGGTGTTTGTGGGAAAAGTAAACTTTCTCCTATGCTGTCCTCTACAGGTGGGGCAACATTAATCAAACGCTATAAAGCTATTGTATTGCCCTTCAGTTCCCTCCTTAAAACTCACCTCTGCGATGTGTACAGTAAACTGCATCTGACAAAGGCTAGCCAAGTATTAAGCTAAGACTACAGAATGTTGTGCAAAAAACATGTTTGCTTTACTGTTATCTCATTCTCCCCACTTTGGCTGTTTCATCCACTTGTCATGTCTTATCATAAACCTAGATTGTGTAAATTCCCTGAGGCAGGGTGATTGCTCTTTACCACGTTTGTACAGTGCCTAGCACAATGTGGTTTGATAACTGATTTGAGGGTCCCTTAGATGTTACTGTAATACAAATAGAAATTGGCCCCATTCTGGAGAACCAGAGTGTAATGGTTGATATGCCTGTGGATGAATTATATGGGGGTCTTATTGACTTCAGAAACAGTATGGATAATCTGAGCACAGGAATCCAGCAGTTAAATATGCTCATTGATTTGGTGTGGTTAGCCCCTTGTGTTTGGTCTGGACTTTGCTCTTACCTTCACTCAGAAACTCATTTAATTCCTGTCCATCAAAATTCCCACACATTCCGCAAGTTTTTCTCATATATTTTCTCTCAACCGTAACCTAAAATAAAAAAAACAACAAAGGAAATATCATAATTAAGACATGTCTGTGGGCCAAGATATCTTCTCAACTAACCTTAGTTGGGATTCCCAAGTAAAGTCACCCCTTTCAGTTAAAAGAACAAGGAGTACTTGTGGCACCTTAGAGACTACGAAATTTATTTGAGCATAAGCTTTTGTGGGCTAAAACCCACTTCATCAGATGCATGCAGTGGAAAATACAGTAGGAAGATATATATACACAGAGAACATGAAAAAATGGGTGTTGCCATATACACTGTAACGAGAGTGATCAATTAAGGTGAGCTATTATCAGCAGGAGAAAAAAACCTTTTGTAGTGATAATCAGGATGGCCCATTTTAAGCAGTTGACAAGAAGGTGTGAGTAACAGTAGGGGAGGGGAAATAAGCATGGGGAAATAGTTTTACTTTGTGTAATGACCCATCCACTCCCAGTCTTTATTCAAGCCTAATTTAATGGTGTCCAGTTTGCAAATTAATTCCAACTCAGCAGTCTCTCGGAGTCCGTTTTTGAAGGTTTTTTTGTTGTAATATTGCGACTTTTAGGTCTGTAATTGAGTGACCAGGGAGATTGAAGTGTTCTCCAACTGGTTTTTGAATGTTGTTATTCTTGACATCTGATTTGTGTCCATTTATTCTTTTACGTAGAGTCTGTCCAGTTTGGCCAATGTACATGGCAGAGGGGCATTGCTGGCACATGATGGCATATATCACATTGGTAGATGTGACTTGAGGGAAGAGAACTGAAAGTGATATGCTCCTTTTCCCAGTCAGGTATTCTTTTCCTCTTCTCAGTAAGTGGAGATAAGAAATGTGGATCTGGAATTCTCATCTATGCCAGAGCAAACACAGGTATTGAATATATTTTTTAAAGAACATGTTGACCAGATTTCTTGGGTTTATCAATACATTTTATATATCTGTTTTGTATCTTTTAATGAGGTGGTAGATTTGGTACTATTTCAAGTGAGGGCCTATTACGGTAGCTGTAAGAAGGCAAGATGTATGAAGGCCATGTGCTAGTTTCCATATACAGCACTACCAATGCATCTTAATCCTGACCTGCAAGCACTTACTGCCGTTTCACTGTTGAGTTTCTCCTGAACAAGCATTGCAAACTGTGTGGAGGTGGACATGGGCTAGGTGGATAATATTTCTGCTGCAACAATCCCTTAGGGCTTCAGAGCATCAGTTGCTCTTCTTTCTTCCATAGCCAGTGGAGAGACAGTAAGAGGAAATGGGCATCAGCTCAACAGATCTGCTCATACAGGGCTCTGAAGACTTTGTAAGTTTTTGTGCTTGTCCATTACATTTGTTATACACTTTTTCCTGCTTTCTCTAAGCTCCACCTCCATGATATTCACAGCCCTGGACACTGGAGAAACAGGAGTTGTTCTTAAAAATGGAGCATTTAATTCTTCTTTTATTTGTTTCAGTTTTACTCCTGTGTCACTCTGTTTACTCTCCTGACTTCAGTGAAGTTGCTGCCGATTTACAACAGTGTACATGAGAAGAGACTTGGGCTTGAATTTCCTGCAAAGAAGTGTATGAGATGGTGCTCCAGGCTAGACCCATGCTCACCATATACTGTACTACATTTCTTTAAAGACAAGTATCTGGATCATATTCTCAGAAGTAATGTGGTCTTCAACATAGTCCCAAGTAATTTATTTCTATATCTAGGTACGCAACATGACTCCATCTACCTCTCTGGAATATCAGTGAAGTACATAAAAGTAATGACAACATCTGTTACTAACCTGCATTGTAGCCATTGAGAAGAAAACTGGGTTTCATGTATTTTTATGTGCACTAACTGTCCCCCTATTTTATACATCCATTAATAAGATGAGTAAATGCTTATACTGCCCTCACCTGGGAGGCCAATGAGCCATTATGCCATACATTTAAGGACTTTAAAGGGCACATTCACAACCTCAGTACAAATAAAAACAATGAATGCATGTAAAAACACCCACTTAGGGATAGCGAATTTTCAGTATTCCAGCAAAAGTTTCTCCTTTTGCTTTGTGACAAGATTTTACTCACCATGAGATAGTCAACATTGTTCCAGACAACTTCCAGCTCCATCTCCATCAGTTTGGTCACCAGGCGGACGGTGCGTCCAAAAGGTGCAATTTGGATTCCATTGCTGGTATATGGCAACTTGATGATACTGTTATGAGGAAGAAAAAAAAAATTGATCCTACTATGTAAAAGTGTGTGCGCTGGTATCAGGTACAACTGGGCAGTCATCATGTGTAATGGTGATACTGCATAGCTATCTGTGAACCACGTGGTATTTGGTGGCAAATTAAGAAAGAATTTGTGTGTTCCCTCCTAGCTGGGACTTTTCAGGATATTTGAATATATGCAAGACAATCTGCTGTTTAAAAAAAGGATCAACGATATACATCTAAAGCCTGATTATAATATTAAAAATCAGTATGGGATATGAACATTGGGATGGGGGGGAATAATGCTATATTTTAACAATAGAGCTCAGCTAGGTTTGGTGTTTATAAGGCAATTGCTAATCTCTTCTTAGGTATCTCCACACACCTATTGTCTGAGTACTAGTAGCTGTCAGTCGTTACCCTGAAGAGGTCATGAGAGTCACAGTCTATGTTAATATACGAATTCTACCAGTGCTGAGGCTTGGCACTGTGAGGAGGAATCGCATAATGGGAGCTGTGTAGCAGGAACAGGACTTGGGACTAGTGGCTGAATTCTAAAGCTAGAGACCAGTGAAAATAAAGAACCAATATAAATATGTATTGAATATATTTCATCATTGCTAGTCTAGGGACACCAAGTTTAAAATGCAGGCCCTGCAGCTAGTTCCATTCATTTACACAGTTGTCCTTGCAAATTAATCCATAAGCCAAGTGTTTTTCAGTGCAGTTTGCCAAATTGAGGTACAATTACAAGAGCAGCTGGGTTCTCTGGCAGTTCCAAAGAATTGGGGGGGAAATGGTTTGAGTCTAAGTGAATTTGAAAATTTCAAAAAGAATTTGGCAAAGCAAAGAAGTCCATTTCAGGTCTCATGCAACATTTTGTCTGACCTGAAACCCTGTTTCTGGGTGTTTTTAAAGGGGCTAGATTCATATAACATCTGAAGGTCCTGGTACCACTTCTCTTATAAGCTTTAGCCCCGTGGTTAGAGGCACTCATGTGGGAGATAAACGTTCAGTTCTTCCCTTTACCTGATGGTGAGAAGGGATCTGAACTTTGGTCTCCCCGTTGCATGAGAGTGCTCTAGCCATTGGGCTATGGGATATTCTCATATGGGTCTCCCTGGTTGAAGCTGATCCAATGTGGATAAATAATTTGTCATTGGGCCAGAGAGACTTGATAGCGAGGTGGTTAGGACGCCTGCTTGAGAGGTGGGAGACTCAAGTCCCTGAACCAATGGCTATTGATTTATACAAAGTGAATTTACTGTTTGTTTAAAAAAATGTGTACAGCTGTAGGTACAAGTCTTATTTTTCTGCTGATGATAGTTGTAAAAATATGGGTGAATATAATAACATACAAACTTTCTATAGCCATCCATATCCTTTCTCTGCATTTATCTATAGGCAAAAACTCAAAGTTGCCCAACTCATGAACATTGCTGAAACTTCATTTTGGGAATTTCAGCTTCTGAAGGCAATCAGCACATTTCTCAATCTCCCCAGCAAACGGTTTCCCTGAATTTGCTGCCTTCTAGAGAGGGTAGTTCTAGGAATAATGAGAACAGAAAGCAGCCATGGCAAGTAGGGAGTTCCCAGAAAGTCTCCAGATGTTCCCTTATTTTCTGTTCCCCTACAGAAGTGCAACACTCAAAAGTTTGGGTTCACAGTCATTGAAATTCAAGTTCAAATGAGCTCAAAACAAAACATACCTGAACCTCTAAATTTCACCTAGTTTCATCAGCTGGCCCAGGTGAATTTGAAACTAGAACTAGGCTCACTTAAGAGGATTGCTAAGCTTTAGGTCAATGTAGTTTTAATTTGGGAATTATTGTGAGATGAGAAGTTTCACCTGCTTTTTGGCTTCACACTGAGTATTTTGTACAGGTGTAGTCTATGCTTGATTTACATTTATTTGGCAGTTATAATCTGCTTTGGTAGAAGGGGATAAAGTCAGTCTCTAAGTAGGTCATTTGTGTCTAATTTCTATAATTTATTAATCCATTTTGGGCACAAAATGGATAAGTGAAATGGACAGACTGAGCTTTCCCTGCAGTACGATCACAGACCTGTCTAGTGTATCTCACATAGCTCCTTGCCTTTGTTTATCCACTGCTATTCGATATATCCCTGAAGCTTACCCAACATCCTTGAGCACAATGACGTTCTTTTTAACCATGATGACCACAGCTCCCAACTCAATGATGATTCTTGTAATTTTCTTGTTCACTCCACGGCGGAACTGGATGTTGAAGTCTGGGCTAACATCATCGCATACGGTGGTGAAGATGTAGTTGCAAGTCCCAGAGAAGTCATACAAATAATTATCAAAGGTGGAGAAATGCCCTGCACCCCAGGTAGAACATGAACCCTTGTCTAAGAAATGAAAGAGAAAATGTATTTAGGTTATCTTGTGCCATGTTTGATGAGATTGACAGTCATTCTAAACACTACCAGTCATGTTCCAATAGCAGTAAAAGCTGATGAGCTTGGAATTTAAATAAACTCTCAGAGAAACTGAATTTATATTCAGTTTAGGATCTATTCTTTTTCCAGAGTATCTATATGCCTTTAATTCTTCTCCTTTATTTTCTGTCCACAAATGACATTTGCATCAGATTATCTGATTTTTTTTTCTCTCCTCAAATTTTAAGTCAATACAGTGCAGGTGAAAGATGCTCTGAAACACATTTGGGCTGTCTGTTTATACACAGGGCAAATACAGCGCGGACAACACCACTGCAATCTTCCTTCTCACTGCCCAGAAAATGTGCCCTAATCCCGGGGGCTAAAGGAAGGAAGGTTGGGAGGGACTGCAGTTCTCTCTCTCTTTCCTTTGATATAAGTAGAAGGGAGCTTTCCATCTCTCCATAGCTTGGGAAAGCATTGCTTCCCCACAATCCCCTCTCCTCCTTGGCTGGCATCCGCTACTTTAATTACCGCTCAACTCTAATTTTGAGGGACTATATCGAAGAACTGGAGAGGGTAGCTCAGGGTTCAAGTCCACATGCCCATTCGGTCTCCGGAATTTGCTGAGATGGCTATCAGGAGACCCGATTAGTGACAGCGAGGGGTAGAGCTAGGTGATATTTTTTTGTACAAAACTTTTTTTTGGTGAAAAGTGCAGATTTGGCAACACAGGACCGTTTCACAAATTCATGTTGTTTTGGAAAAATTATTTTGGCTGGAAAAACATCAAACCATTTCATTACATTTTCAAAACAAAACATTTCAGTCTTTTAAATTGATTTTTGTTTCAAAAGTTCCTTTAATTTTATTTTAAAAACTGAACATTGAAAAATGGTCAAAACTGAAATGTTTCATGAAACATGTTAAATGAAACATTAAGATCTTGTTTGGTGTCAAATGACTTTTTTCTCAACTTTTTGATTTGCTGAAAATTTTTAATTTTAATTTTAAAAAAACCAAAACTTTTTTTTGATATTTTTGGAATTGCCAGTGAACTGAAAAATCTGTTGTTCGCACAGCTTTAGTTATATGTAATGTAATCACTTGTCCTTGATGGAACCAGCCCAAATCTTAAAGGCATGAGATATTTTTTGGTAAATATTGGAGGTGTAGATGCAATTGGTATATCACAGAATAATGAGCTGGCAGAGATGCCATTAGGCTTCAGCCAGACATGCCGAGTTGGGGCAGGGGGGTGGGGAGGGTAAATAATATAGTGAATTGAACTGTGCTGTGGTTTTCCTGAAACCCCTACATTTTAATCAAAATAGTTATTGATTCATTACATACAATATTCCAATAACCATTTTGATAATGGTCTTGATAAACTTTTGAGTAACCATTTCAGTTAAAAAAATGGAGTAAAATTGCACAGAGTAATGGGTCCATTTTGAGACAGGGTGTATAAAAATTATGATTTAAAAAATATACACAAAAGTTTTTTTTAAATGGGTTTTTAAAGGATTTACATGTTGCTAGTGTTTTACTTTTGTCCCATTTTAGTGTTTCAAATTGTTAAAGAGGATGTTTAGTACTTGGTTCTTTTGTTTCCTAATTGTTAAACTTTCATATTTTACCAAGAAAGTTCACATTTTAAATCTTCTTTTATGCTGTAAGAACTATATCAGGGCCTCATAAATATCCTGACTGAGAGCAGGCTATCAGGGTGTGTGGTTTGAAGTAAATAGGACTTGTGCTCCTAAATCACTTAGATGCCTTCCTAAATCCCACTCTTAGCTGTCTAAATACAGGTTTATGAGCCCAACTTGAGTTCTCTATTTTTGAAAATGTTGGCTTGTCTGAATAAAAAAGTTTACAATAACTTTATCAAAGTATTGAAAGTCTAAATAATTTTTCATGGTTACTGTGATAAAATTTCATTTTGAAGTGGCAAAGATTTAATGCCACTAAGAGAATTTTTAAATAAAAAATATACTTTTAGCTCCTGATGCTGAAAACATTTAGGGGTACATACTTAAGCACATGAGTAGTCCCACTGAAGTCAATGATTCATGTGAGTTAACTTGATAAAGTGTTAACAGGATCAGGACTTTAATTTTCAATAGTTTGTGTTTTTTTGCTTATAGCTGTTTTGTAAAATTCAAGTAAGAGACCTTACCAGTAGCAGTAAAGCATTTATTATACATTTTAATCTAAAGTTGCAATAACACAAATTTTAAAATTAGTTTTACAAAGCCTAAATCTCATTTAAAATTGATTATTTTTGAAAATATTATTATTTTAATCACCTTGGCTTGAATCACCCCACCCTATTTCAAACTTGCAAAATGGAAACAACTTCAAAACATTGGCATTTTCCGTGACATTTTTCACTTGATTTTTCAATCTGCTCTAAGGGATACAATGGTCACCCTTCTCAAGGAAGGTCCTTACAAAATACTTCACCACTTTTATCCAGCAAGTATAAAAGAAACTGTTACCTGAACGTAGCATAGCATTATCTTCTGCACTTCTGGACTCTTCACTGTCATCATCTGGAAAATAGCAGTTGGTTAAATATTACCACTGATCCTTCCAGCCAAACCGTGCATATTTTAACTTTAATAAGATACTCCTTTTTGCACTTGCTAGCGAAGCTAGCTTGTTTGGATCTTGCCTATTTTCCATTCACCAAATAGGTATTCGTGGGACATATGGAGACAGTGCCATAAATGGTATTTTCTACAAACACAGGAATGCTGTGATAACTAGGAGTAAAGTAAGGCATACTTGTGGCACCTTAGAGATTAACAAATTTATTTGAGCATAAACTTTCGTGGGCTGAAACCCACTTCATCGGATGCATGCAGTGGAAAATACAGTAGGAAGAATATACACAGAGAACACGAAAAAATGGGTGTTGCCATACCAACTGTAATGAGACCAATCAGTTAAGGTGGGCTATTATCAGCAGGAGAAAAAAAAAACCTTTTGTAGTGATAATCAGGATGGCCCATTTCGAACAGTTGACAAGAAGGTGTGAGTAACAGTACGGGAAAAAATTAGCATGAGGAAATAGTTTTTACTTTGTGTATAATGACCCATCCACTCACAGTCTTTATTCAAGCCTAATTTAATGGTGTCCAGTTTGCAAACTAATTCCAATTCTGCAGTTTCTCATTGGAGTCTGTTTTTGAAGTTTTTTTTGTTGGAGAATTGCAACTTTTAGGTCTGTAATTGAGTAACCAGGGAGGTTGAAGTGTTCTCTGACTGGTTTTTGAATGTTATAATTCTTGATGTCTGATTTGTGTCCATTTATTCTTTTGCATAGAGATTGTCCGGTTTAGCCAATGTACATGGCAGAGGGGCATTGTTGGCAGATGATGGCATATATCAGTTGAAATTGCAATGTAGATAAATAATAAACAGGAATGCCAAAGCATATCATCAGTGTACTGAGAGCAATTTTCGCTGAATGACTTTAGCTGACTTTGTTTCATTTTGTGTATAGGGAAGAGCAAGGCTTTGATAATTATTGTAAGCAAATCATGAGCAGAGATGGGGATGCAGAGGAGAATTTTTCTCCTTGAACTCTGCTTCACAGGGAATTTTGCTCCCTTCAGGGTTCTCTTCCTATAGCTTTTACCCACTTATGACTGATGAAATACTTACTTAACTCGAGCCAGTTGTTGCCCCTGCTGCCTGAAGGGAAATAAATAGTTACAGTTAAGAATCATCTTAGTATAACAAAGCTAACATTTATATAGTGCCTCTCACCCCAAAACTCTTTACAAACTAGATTCAGGAATCTCATCATCCATCAGTGAAATGCAGGCAATTATGGGGTGAATGCAGCAGCTTGTTAGCTGCACATAGTTTAAGATGGAAAGCGAAGAAAATAAAATAGTGCATTTTTTCCAGGAAGAATTTTAAATAGACAGAATATGTGAGATAATTTATTCAGAATACTAGAACTGAAATGCTAAGCCATATTCATTTAATTTTTGTAAAGGTATCAAAGGCTCTTTTTTTAGCTATAAGTGCTTAGGAGTACAGATGGATGAAATTTTTACACACAACTTTTTTTTCAGAAAAATGCAGCCAGCAACATCAAAATGTTTTGTGAATTCATGTCAGTTTTAGTTAACTATTTGAGTAAAAAAAAAAATCTAAAAAAATTTAAAAAAAGTCTAAATGTTTTGACATTTTTGAAAAAAACCTTTTTTGATTTTTCAGTTCAAAATGACTTTGTACAAAATTTCCTATAATTTTACTTAAAAAAACCCAATCAAAACATTTAAAAATCAAAACAAAACGTTTCAACCCCAAATTAGTTTTTAAAACTTTTTGATTCACCAAATATTTTTTAGAATTTCATGTTTAATTGGACCTGAAACAATTTTTTTAATTGTCCGCAAACTGAAAAATCCATTATTTGTGCAGCTCTGCTCCGGAGTCCAGACCCTTCTATATTCTGTCTCCGGAAGCTGACAGCACTTCCAACAGTATAGTGCCTCCTAGTGCTCTGTTGTCATTGCTTCAATGTACAGTGTGACTTTGATGTACAAAATCGAAGTGACGAGGGAAGGCTGTTAAAAACTAAATATTCACTGTCCTGGATACCTTCAGAAATGTGGTTTCTTCACTTGGAATAGAAGGGAACACAATCACTGCCAGGGAGCAAATGCTGAATTTGTAATGATATCCGCTGTATTAATATTACTACAAATGTATCAATTAGCTAATATTAGTAAAGCACTTAGAACATATAAAAAGCTAAGGCCTAGATCCCAAAGGGGTTTAGGCAACTCAACAGCCTAATCAAGAGACGAACAGCCAAGCCAAAGAATTCAGAAAATCTACACTTTTTGTATATATACAGAGTTTTAAGGCGAGTTAAACATTTACATATTAAATAAGAACCATATGTCCACAAGAAGTGCTTGTGATTTGATTTAAAGCCATCACATTATTCACTCTTTCCGACTTTCTAGTAAAACACAATGCCAGAAAACATAGCGTTATGGGTGAGACCCAAATTGTGGTATCCCTAATAATGCCTCAGGCAGCTGCCTTATTGCCACGGCAATTTACCAAGCCCAGCAGTCACTTTATGAGTGCGTTGCTGTGGTAACCATGGCTTAGCGAAGTGGCAGCAGGACTGCAGCAGTTAAGGCTGGTTCTGACAGCAGGGCTGCAGGGGTCTCCCTCCCCATATTGACACAGCACATCAGGAGGGAGCTCCCTGCATGGCCGAAGGGCCCAAGACGCCATGGCGGAAGATGTGGGGGAGGCTGGAGTTGTCCTGGCATGACAAAGCGGAGACCCCATCCTGGACTGTAAAGAGGAGAATGAGCACCTGGCTGTGGGGAAGGCCACCATGCTACTGAACGGTTCCTTTCTGGGGATGGTTCCCACACTTCTCCAGGATTGTCCTGGAGTCTCCAGGAATTAAAGATTCGTCTTTAATTAAAGATTGTCATGATGAAACTTCCAGGAATACTCCAACCAAAATTGGCAAACATACTGTCTGGTGAGTGAGGGAGTGGGGCCATGACACTGGATCCCTCCAGGCACAGGTTGGTCCTGGTGGGGCAGACCTGAGACCTCTGGCCAGAACTGCAAGGAGGAGGACAAATATTGGTATTTGTGAGACTTTGTGGTATGTGCTTCACCTGCCACAAAAGTCACTGGCTGCCACTGCAGCCAAGCCCAGTTTGAGGTATCACTGCTAACCACAAGAACCCCATTCAGCTGCCACCTAATACTGCAGGAACCTAAACTCACTCTGTTCCTACATTTTTACTGTAAAACTCCCTAAGCACTTAGCATGTGCACTGCTGCCTCACTCTATGGGTATGTACACATAAGAACAAAAAACCCACGGCTGGCCCGAGTCATTTGACTTGGGCTCATGGGGTCCAGGCTCTGGGGCCGAAAAATTGCTCTGTAGACATTTGGGCTCGGGTAGGAAGCCGAGGTCTGGGACCCTGTGAGTTACTATTTCTTTGTAGGCAAACCCTTCAGTAAGAATTCATAAAGGTAGTGTTTTACATGAGCCTCTTGATGCAGGGACTTTCTTACTATGTGTTTTGTTCAGTGCCTTGTACAATAGGGCCCTGATCCTGATTGGAGCTAATTGGGCACAACCTCATCTTAAATGTGTAATAACAGGCAAAGTATTTACCTCTTTTCAGAAGCTCCTTCTGCCTGTAGAGAAATTGATGGGATATATAACTCCCTTCAAGCCCTGTGAAAGCAAAAGGTATAGATAAGTCGACATTACAAGACAAAACAGAAATGTAGCATCAGTTTTTAAAAGCTCCTTCCTTTCCCTTGATTTATTGTGGACATCACTGTTGTACAGATAACAGTTACTGTGCTTGTGTCAATGCATGCACAGCTTGTAATGAACTGCTTCTCTTCAACTGGTAGGAAGGTACTTTAAGAGGCAAGAGCAAAGCGCATCCTGCAGAAGCCATATATCACTCTGTTGTGTCTTTTGCATGCTACACAACATACATAATACGAAGAAACAACCCAAAAGTTTGCTAATCATATATAACATACAAGGCCTAGCTATATGTATACATTGCTGTTCTGCAGAGTTCTGGTGGCTTCTGAAACACAAAAGACACTGATGGCCACTAGAGGGCTCATTAACTGTTTAAACAGATATTACCCAATTCCTATACACTCAGTGGTTGACTGAGTGGGATGAAACAATTGGCACTGTGAGTAGTGAGTAGAGAGGATGGCTGAGGTGCTCTCTCCTGTTTGTATGTGGGCTGATGTTGAGACCTATCTGTATTTAAAATAGCTTTGACTCTCAGGCTTCAGCCTTTGTCTCCCTTAAGCAGAATTTGATTTAAATAGATAGCCAGCTAATGAAAAGAGGTATTCCCACTAGTGCTTATTGGAGAGAAGGTCTTCAATACTCAAGTGTTTCTTGGTAGAGCAAGATGATAGTAGGGACAGATGACTGTGAAAAATTCTCTGCTATGGCACCTTTTATGAGCAGGAACAAGTTAAATATTGAATGACTCAACTTTCTGCAAGGTCTCACGGCCACATATGATATAGTGTTTTCTGGCATTTTTACAGAAGCTAGATGTGTGGAAGAGATCCCAATACTTCAGTCAAATTAAGTCCAGTTGAATCTTATTTTTGAAGAGCCTTGTTGCACATAGAGGAGTTACTGTGGCGTCTGCAGCAGCCATGTTTGGTAGTTCCCCAGGTGTTGGTGTGTGATGTTGAGACAGCAGAGGAAAGAAAGAGAGCTAACAAGATGATTCTCTTCTTACATTTTGTAAAGCCATAGAAAATCTGGAAAGAATCATGGCAGCCAAACTGGATTACAAGTAAAGGTATTTTAAATACACAAACTCCTCATTTGGAGAGATTTGAGGCAAGATAATCTTCTGGTTAAGGCAATGAGCTGCAACTAAGGAGATGATAGTTCAATTCCTGTGGTTGTGGCAAATTACCTAATCACCCTGTCTCAGTTTCCCACTGGGATAGTACTTATCAGACATGCTGTTGTGAGGATAAATTC